GGCGGTGGTGGCGGTGGTGCTGGTGGTGCTGGTGGTGGTGGTGGTGGTGGTGGTGGTGGTGTTGGTTTTCGTGTGGGTGTTGGTTTTTGTGTTGGTGTTGTGGTTGTGGTTGTGGTTGTGGTTGTTGTTGTTGTTGTTGTTGTTGTTGTTGTTTGGTGTTTGGTGTTTGNNTGCTGCTGCTGGTGCTGGTGGTGGTGGTGGTGGTGGTGGTGGTGGTGGTGGTGGTGGTGGTGGTGGTGGTGGTGGTGGTTAACATTACCACTTGTACTAAGCTCCTTGATCCTACTACTGTACTACGACACGACGGCGTCTACTGCAGACACAGCGACCGCTGAGACAAGATGGCAGAGAAGATAAGCAGAGAGTCCTGAGGACACTGGAAGCTGGGGAGACCATCCTCAAGCAGGGAGACACAGGCGACACTTTCTATCTTGTGGAGGCCTCCGTGATCCGTTTCATTCAAGATCACAGCATGCAGGGATCCTCATATTCCTGCTCCTCTAGTACCGCATGGCTTGTGTCGTAGTTGTCAGCATGCCCCTGAATGCAGTACAAACAGGCAGCAAGGTTTGTCGGAACATGGGCGCTTCGCGGTAGGAAGCTCCACTCTGGCATGTTTAGAGATGGCACCTCCAGACATCTTGGAAGGAAGGCGATCTTGTTGCAACGAAGTCGCGCGATGGGGGTGCTCAGGAGGACTTTGCATGTTACAGTTTCTAAGAAGAATGCATGAAAGTTTCACCCCCACGCTTGTAATTCCACATAAATGTTACATACAGGAGCAGCCTAATTGAGAAAGTCCCATGCTGGTTGGGAGATGAGCTGCTTTCTTCAGAATCTGTGAGGAAGTGCTTCACTACAAGCGCGGTTGCTTGCTTGAGTTCTTCAGAGCCCAGATTTCGATTGCAACATGATTCCCCCTCCTCTGGGAGGGTTGGGAAGGCTGGCCAACTTGCCCCGGCATCTCAGGTGACTATTTCGGGGAGTTGGCGCTCTTGAAGAATGAGCCCCGTGCAGCAACAGTGTCAGCCAAGACGGAATCCAAAATCTGCAAGGCAGAGACCTCAGAGTGTCCTTAAGCCCTGCGTCTGAACTCGTGGTTGCTGCCATGCACCCAACTCACCAAGATTGACCGCAAGTCCTTCAAGAACATCCTGGGACAGCTCGAGGCCTCTCCGCTTGAGCCTGACTGGGGAGCCCTTTTGGGATGGCACGCCATTCAGGCTCAGTTCAAAGAGGCGGCTTCCAAATACAAGCCTTGATCACCAGAGGAAGTTGCACGCGACAGGCAAGTCGGGCAGGCTTAACCGCTTAACCTGAAGAAGCCTTGAGCCAACTGCAGGATGCATTCCACGTGGACCTTGCTACCGACAAGTTTGTCCATGCCATTGTGTCCTGAATTCTATTTGGTCTTGGCCCTCCGAATGGACGCTGATGCGTCACTTTGTCATTTCCCCTGCAGACCTTCGCAATTGTTCCATTGAGCCTTCCGCGTATCTGGCGCTGGCCGCCCCTGAAATTGCTGGGGCCTTTTCGGTGCCATTGGGTTGGATTTTGTATCAGGCACTTCTTAGGATTCGATTAGCATACGCAAGCATTTTGGATGAAGTTGTGGAGGCTGCGGGGCCCTTTGTAAGAGGAAATACTGTTCCGAGTGAACTCCACGCTTTGCACCACTCCCAGTCTACTTCGCTTTACTTCACATTTGTGGTCACCTTGCAATGATTCATTCTGTGACACTAAGTTGTTTTTGAATGGGGGAGTGGATCGCCATGGGATCTAATCCCATGAATCGCTCTAGCCTTGCCAACGCAACGCAAGGGACCGGTTCGGAATGCCACAAGCCGAGCTTGTTCTGAAAGTCTGCAACTCTTGCAGTCCACGAAGTCAAAAACAGAAAAGGCTTTTCTTCAAGTGGCGCTTCATGACGGGCTTCACGCTCTTCATGTGTGGCTGCAAGAGAAATTTGATCTGGACTGGTTTCACCACTGACGAGACGTGCGGCGCATGCCCAGACTTGAATGCAATAACCTACCGGAGACATGCTGGATAGGCAAATGTGGAGAGAACAGGCCGAGCACGCAGAATAACAATTCTGCCAGGACCTGATTGCACAGGGACGAGAGTTGAAAGCTCAGAAGCAGTACAAGAAGGCATGGGTGAAAGAGAGACCTTCAACTCACTTTTCAAGCGAGAGTTGTGGCTTTTCGCCAGGCGCTCAACCGATTCACCAAAGGCAGGGTACTGGAATCCTGGGGTCAGGCAGCTTAAGCAGTGTGGCTTGCTCTCTGTAGGTGTGAAGATTTTGGTGGACCTGGTGCAGACGGAGGACATCCAAAGGGAGAAGAAGCTTTTCAATGAACATGGCACCCCCCCCTCCCCCGACAGCGACAGCTTTGGCATCCTTTGTTGGCATTTGGGTGACCAGGACGACCCAGAGCTCAAGATACAGGTAAATAGCTATATCGACGAGGCATATGAGCTGCCCAGATGAGGTTCAGGATTCTGCCGATTCCGAGTTCAGGGATGATAGGGCTTTGCAGTTTGTCAAAGAGCTGAGGCTGAAGAAGCTTGCCAACGAAAGCAGCGAGGCCTCTGCAAAGCCTGAAACCAGGGAGCCAGAGCCCGCCAAGCCCGCCACGCCCGCCACGGCCGCCAAACCGGCTGCCCCGGCTGCCCCGGCTGCCGCCATCGTGCTCGCAGAGGCCCTGCAAAGCCGAAGCAAAGCGAGGCCTCAGCCTTTGAGCTCAGGAGCACCGCCAGCAGCTGAAGAAGGCCGATGGCATCTTTGAGGAGGTGCGCAGCAAGCAGCAGCGAACGGCTCTCCATAAGTCCCTATTCCGTGGTGCTCATAGCAGTAAGCACGTTTGCTATCAGACTTTGGCTTCGTCAGCTTGTGATTAACGTGCATGCCTAACACGGCTACAGCTAGCATACTGTACTGCAAGTTCTCTTTACCGGCCTGACCATTTTCTTGCTGCTGCAATTTATCCTCCTGTTTCCATCCCGCATCCTCCCATCCTCCTGCTTCATTTTGTTGCTGCCGCTGCTGCCGCCCCTGCTGCCTACCTCGATGATGAATGTTGGGTTTTTCCTGAGGGCTGTTGCAAGCTGGTAGTTCAGGGAGTGCTTGGTGGGCCCAGGGCGAGCGGAGCGAAAGCAAAGGCAGTTTGGCAGAGGCTGGATGTGCTTCAAGGATGCTAGCCTTAGCTGCTAGCTGTTGTATTCAAATTTTTCTTTTCCTATGAAACTGTGGTCTTCAGACAGCTGCGCGTGGAATTGATTCCAAAGAGCATGAGTCCAGGTTGCTAGGCGTTGGAGTTTTTTTCCAGAGTTAGCCTGAGGCACAGAGGCTGTATGTCAGCGCGAGCCAGATGGTGATGAAGGCAATCCCGAATCCCCAGCCATGCTGGCTATGCTGCAAAAGTCTTCCAGGTCATTACCTTGGAGCAGTACAAGAACAATGATCTTCGGGAAATCCTCGCAGCAAGGAACAAGGCGGAGACGTCTGAGCGCGCGAGCTGAACATTAAAGCAACAAATATAAACAGCTTGGCGTGGAGCTGTTTTAGTGTTCGCACTTTTGAGCGCCTCAGTGTTCTGCAGGTAACAGAATACGTCAACCGCTCCGACAAGCTGACCGAGAAGCTGCAAAGTGAGAAGAGGCTCCTTGCATTTTGCATTGATGCTTGCCGGATGCTTTCTTGGCTTGTCTTGAGGGAGAACCGCAAGTCCGAGGGTAGGGCATCCCGCAGCCGCCGACGAAGGTCACCAGAGGCTGGCGGGAAGTCGAATCCTTCAATGGCAGTCTTTTGCATGAATCGCTACATGCAGGATAGCAGCCGAAGAGGATCTAGGGAAGATCGAAGAGATCACAGAGACCGGGGTAGGGCAAGCTATCATCACCGGCGCGATGATAGACGTGAAGAGCGACGGGACGACCGGCGGGATGAGCGAGCAAGGTCCAGAGATGGGCTTCGCGCGAAAGCAGGCGGACTCAATGTCAAAGTATTGCCTTGCTGTGTCGGGCTTCACTGCAAACTTCTTCGAGCAGGAGCAGGGAAGGCGGATCGAAGCCGCAGTCGGGACACCAGGCAGGTACTCTTTTAAGAGTGTGAGATAGGCTGTACAAGGCATCTTTCCGTATGGAGGCGCGAAGACACCTCTCGGCATGCGGCTTACAGTGAAAGCAGTGAAGAGGACAAATTCAGTCATTTTGTAATAAGAGCCTACTTGTACGGAGGCCCGCAGCATGCACCCTAATGGGCTGTGTCTCAGGGATCCAGCACGTGGAGCTAAGGGCTTCCCATGCCGCATCAAGCCGCGATCGAACTCAGGACATGACAGGGCCCAGATCCAACTCTGTGCCTTCCTTTTTTGGGGCTTGTGTAGAGGCAAGACTCCGTTGTGGTGGTTCGGGAACTCAGGTGTTTAGAATTGAGGGTGTTCCAGAAAGTTGACGCCGCACACCGTTACCAATTATGGGGCTCTCCGCATGCATTCCTTTTTTGCGGTGGGGAGGCTGAAATTGGGGAAAGATCCATGTAGGGCTGTGCAAGGACTTAAAGTGCTGAAAACTGCCGTCCATGCCAGCTAGTGTGGCCCGCTGAAGTCCATTCGTTGCTTTGCAGGACTCGACTGCTCCGATCGTGGAGACGGTACAGATGGGGTCAATCATGCTTGAGCACAGTGAGAACAATCCAGGGTAATCGTGATATTAATTGTACAGAGACTGCCGATGCGTGACAGGAGAATCAAACGACAGTTGCAGTCAAACCGATGGTAATACGACATCGGAATGCTAATCAGAAATACCGGTTGTCATGCAGAGCATGCCAAGTTTGGGAAGAGGTGAGGTGTCTACGTTATTGGGTATCTGCAACTGCCAACTGCATTTGAAAGTTCTGGTTGTTTGCAGCTTGCTTGCCCACCCTGCTCAACCTCATCCCAAATTCACCCTTGAGAAAAAAAAAGATAAAGAACAGTGGGAGCATCGAGTCGCGGCATGTTTCTGGCATGAAGGGCAACATGACCCAGCTCTTTCAGGGGCATGCTTGCAGGCGGAGGCTACACGTCCGAAGGGCATGCCAGCGCAAAGGCTCCGAAACAGAGGGTGGATTTTGACACATAATACCCCGGGGGCCTTTCTTTGGGCAAAAGAGAAAGACATGCTTCAGGGTGAGTGAGATAGCCATGCAGCAGTGTTTTCCCATTGCATGCATTTTCAAGCATGTGAACTGCCAGCGGCACGATGTGGGCAAGATGTGGGGTCGGTCTTGAGGCCGGCATCGTTGGATCCGGCCACTCCCGCACCGGAGCAGCCCAAGAAGGACGTGAGGCGGAAGCTTCCATGATGAGTGATATTAAAAAAAAACCTTCACAATCTCAGATATAGCTTCGATTCCAAAAGCCTGGGAGGATCATGACTGAGAAGGACCTGCTGGTGATCAGGCCCAAGGCTTGGCTGTCACCAGTCAAGAGGGGAATTTTCATAAGTTGGGAATCCATTTGTTGAGGGACTTCTTGCCAGGGTTATACAGATGTGTCATCTCCTGTGGAGATTTATACCCTCGCAGGCGAAGAACCGACGCGTCAACCCGAATCCGAACTGAGGGATCTGGCAGCGCTTGCTTGGCCGGGCAAACCATGGCAAACCCTGGAAGTTAGCTGCTGTTGCAGGAGGGATAGATGGCAAAGGGCAACGGCCAAGGAGCTTCCATTCCGTAGGACAATAGTTGCCAGTTTTGGGCGAGAGTGCGCACGCAGAGCTCCACCCCACTATATGAGGAAGCGGGACGGTGCGGGAGCTGTAGGCGTTGCACATCCGCCAAAAACTTTGCTTCCTTCTTGTGTGCTGCCCAGCACCCCATGTAGAAAGTGAAGCTCCGCTCAGGGTGCTGTTGCAACGACATTTCAAGAAGACTTGTCTTTCGCTGCGGGCGAGACCGGGAGGAAAAGCGGATGGGCGGGAGTGCAGCTGAAGCAGCCGCAGCTCATCGCAGCTCACGTCAATAAGAAAAGGTGCCTTGATCTCTTCCCTCATCTGGTTTTGCGAGCTTAGTTAGGGGGGAGCTTGGGGCTCTCGGGACCCTGCATCTCGCTCCAGGCTTGGCGTCACATGTTTTGAGCGCCCTCCTAACACCAAGAATGAATTTGTCTGCAAGGCAGCTCTCTCGCAGCTGTCTGGCGGGAGGCGGGACCCTGGGTTGATGGCAAGCACATGTTGAGGACACCGCCTGTGGTCCCTGTGCAGGATGCGTTTTGCGGGTCTCAGATTACTCCTAGCCTTCTTACTCGCGAATGCGGCTGCACAGACCACAGATGGCGGGCGCTGATTCCTCAGGAATGCTGGCTGTGTCCTCTGCCCACATTTCTGCAGAGCTGTTCTTTCTTCAAGGCAGCGAGCTGCCCGGGATGAAGAAGGACATCTTCGATCAGATGAAGGATGCCAAGAACAAAGGCCAAAGCGGAGCTCAGCCGTGAGCAGCTGAGCCCAAAAAGAGCTTTCAGAGCTAAATTCTCTTTTCTCTTTTAACCTTCTTCTCAGGGCGAAGCGGGCTGACTGCCCCAAGAGTGCCGGGCCGAGCTCTGCATTTGGAGTGTTTCTTCCCATAGACGTAGCTACGTAGCTACCCCCCTGAACCCTTTTTTTTCCGTGTTTTTTCGTGGGTGATCTGTGAGGTGACCAGCTCTCGCCTTTCCGGGCATTCTGCATTGAGCCTTGGCTTGCTTCAGAAAACAGAAGGTGGGAGTTCCCAAGTTCTTTGGGAGCGTAGTTCCAGGCTTCAGATTCTGCGGAGAGATGGCATCCGAACAAAGAGGCAGTTGTGCCAACTGGGTTGAGAAAGCATGACTTTAGGGTGAACACAGAAACTTTCATGTCATGCTCATAATTGGCCTGTGCCTCCCACTTAGATGGTGGGAGTCAAGGACCAATTGTTTCTTAGGCGTGTGTTGTTCATGTCAATGTCCTTCCAGACCGCCCCCCCCCCCCCAACTTTGGAAAGTAGGAATACGGCCGCCTTGTACCTGGAAGACTCTGCAAGGAGCAGGGCAAACACGCCACGAGCAGCCTCAGCCAAGGCTTTCAGTAGCCTTGTTCAATTTTTGGTTTAGACACTCGCCACCTGTGGGAGATGTCCAATAAGAACAGTTCTGCCATGAAACGTAGCCCGGCGTGTCGCCCTCAGGCAGTTGCCACATGGATCCCTTTCCAAAAATGGTAAACAGCAGCTTAAGCTGAACAGCTTGCGCTGCAGCCTGTCCCAGGTCCAGGGAGAGATATTCGTCAAGTTCAACGACACTGACGACAAGTGCAGAAAGATCGTCAGCGTAGGCTGGCAGCCCAAAAGTCTAGAATCTTGAAGCCCAGATCGGGCAGGTGCAGTTTGCATGCTCGCATATGCACTTTGTTTGTTGTACTCTTCCTATCTCAGGATCTAGTCGGGGCACAGTGACAGTGGGCCAGCTCCAAACCTTTTAAAGGGCAAGAGATGCAAAGTCTGAACTATACACGGTCTTTGCAACTGTGCTATGCAAGCCAGCTTTGGCGGCGGGTGACCAACTTGTATGATGCCTACGCGGCGGGTAAGAATAGTGGTACCATAACGGAGAAGCTTCGCCACTCAAGTGCTCCACATTGTCATCTCGCCGCTGTCCTCGGCTTTTTCCAACCTACAAGCGAAGCCCCACAGGCTCCGCGAACCTGACACACCAACAGCAGCACCTGTTGCTGAGATTTCGAGAGCCGGAGGGCCAGCATAATGAGCGTCAGCGGGTTCTCTTTGAGGGTTTAAGCTGCCCATCTCCAGCGCCTGTTGCGGAGATTTCGAGAGCAGGAGGTCCAGCATCATGGTTATCATCACCATTGTCATTGCAATGACCACTGTTGCAGTTGCGCAGGCGGAGCAAACACATCTGCGCTTTTTGCTGCTTCCAGGCAGGAGCTGGGGGCCATCTTGGTAAACGTAGCACACGTCTTATGAAGGACCTGCGGCGCCGCGGGCGAATGGAAGAGAAGAGTTGCTGAGGACGCCGGCCGAACAGATGTGGGGTTCTTGCAAGCATTCGCTGTAGCATGGTGAAGGAGAACATAGGAGAACATGTCTCAACACACTGTTGCCAAAGTTTAGATTTTTTCCAATGTGCATCAGAATGCTCAAGTCGTGGAATCTGGCAGATGAGATGATGAAACACGTTGCTTGAACACGCACCATGCCTTGAAAGGTGAAAACATGCAACTCTGCTCAGTGCAGCCGTTGTTGAGGGATTGGCTTCACTTTCTGAGGAGCTTAGTGCCGTCTACTTCGTCGGTGGCTGGGAGGAGCCTTGCCAAGTCCTGTCCAAGGGTATGGGTTGGTGGTCATGTAATGCTGCAGGAATGGCCGAAGAGCCCCTTCGCTAGATCCAAGAAGCTCCCCTTGAGACTTTTGAGATGACCTGCGCTGAGGCGAGGGCGAGCCAGTCGAAGTAGAGCTTGAAGATGGTCATTCCGCCGAGTCTTCATCGAATCTGTAGAGCCGGCAAGGGTTACACGCAAGGCAACTTCTCAGTGCCCATCACTGCCGAGAATTACGAAGTTATTAAGGTACGTGGCCTTGGAATCATCAGAAGTGTTCTGATCGTTTTCTTTACGGGGCGGAGGACTGCTGGGCAAGAGGCTGTGGATGCGAACAGGAGCCGTGACTTGGCAGAGTTGTGCTTTTGCTCCTGCTCTGGTCCTGGCGAAAGGCTGCGAATCCGAAGATGAAGGGCGTGCTGCGCCGCCCTCGGGGACTTTTCAACCTGGAGGAAACTTCCTTAGTGGACCCAGCTTAGCACACGGGGCTTTTTCGATGTGTCTGTGGCTTCTGATGGCATCGGAGAAGCGATAGCAAATATGCACGGCAAGCGCTTGTCCTCCATCACATCATTTCGGCACATTGCCTTTAAACGGAAACAGAGGGCTGGTCCTGCATCTGCACGTGCAGAAGCACCAGCTGAAGCAACAAATTGCGGCTTATCCATTTTTCTGCCATAGCATCTGTTTGCCATCTGATTTAGGAAGAGTCCACTGGTGTCTTCAGTTGCATCTGGAATCTAGTTAAAGAGCAATAAATATCACTCGACTGGCATGCCTCCTGCACTACATCAAACCAAATTCAACAATGCCTCTTACCCACTTAGCAGCTGACGAAGTCCTGGCGTGCCCCTCGGAATTTGTTCCAACGCAAATGAATCAAACTCCACACAGGAGCTGCAGAGTCTTCAGTTCCATCTGAGCTAGAGCTTTTCTTTTTAAAAACGATTAACTGTAATTCGGCCAATGCCAGGTAATGAGGTCCACATTTCAGTACGTACTTTACTCTAGCTTCACCCCTCTCTTGATCCCGTCTTATCAAATCGAGTTTCATGGGGCCTTCCCAGGAGTTGCTAGACTCCCAATTCAAGCTGAACGGATTTGTTGAAATGTTTGTTTGCATGATTCAGGATCTTCCATGAGCTGGTGGGAAGATGATTGAATTAGATGAGTTGTCCTTTGGATAGTTGTCAGCTAGGTTGAACGACCTGGTAACCCCCGCGGAAGTGAGGTCAAGTGTGCTGATGACCCTCCTCAGGTGTACTGTTTCTCATCTGCACGGTAAAGCTCTTGAAGATCCTTCAACCACGATCAAACCCCCTGAGAGTGGCCTAAACCAAGGCTCAACCATTGCCAAAAGCAACATAAACAGAGGCACAGAACCTGCATATGACCATCCGTAAACCCAGAAGTCCATTATGCCACAGTCAGTAGAGGGCGATGCATAGCTAAGCGCGGCGCAGCCCAGAAATCCTTCTTCAAAGCAGAGCTGCAAAAAGAACATCAGCCTGAATGCAAGAAAAACAAAGCCTTGCAGAAGACCCAGGGTAGGCTCCATAACGTCTTGCTCCAATGAGCCGCTGATGCTGCTGAAGCTGATCCCAGACATGAGGGACCCCAGCGAATTCCTTCACAATCCGTCCGTGGGTGGGGTGGGGTGGCGGGAAGCCTGACTTCGATTTCACCGCACACTTGTGTCCTTGCGTAGTTCACGACACCCCAATTACAACTGGCCGGTCCTGTGTCTGAATTTCTGTAACTTAACTTAGTAGATATTTGGGCCAGGTGCCAGAAAAAGGCAGCAACAACAACAACAACAACAGCAGCAGCAGCAGCAGCAGCAGCATCAACAGCAACAACACCAACTTGATCCTAATCTCACGCCCTTGCCTGTCAAGGACAACGCAGCCGTAAAAATGAAAAGCGTTGGTCAGCTGCTTTCAGAAGCCAAAGGCCGCAGTTGCCAGATGCCTCGTGCTTGCCAGGAGGAAGGAAGGAACAATGCAGCCAAAACTTGAGAAGGTACCAGAAAGCATTGCAAAAAACTTGAAGAGAAACCCAATCCAAAGTGTTACAGGTCCTGGGTCTTCTTGCGTCTTCCTCAGGAGTTGGCAATATGTTCTGCTCAAAAACATTTTGTTGTTACCTTATCAGTTTTAGTACAGAAAGCCACGGCTTGCCTTGCAGATGGCTGTGCTTGGACTTTTGTGATTGCAGTACTCAACTTCGATATTGTGGTTGTCACAAACGGTACTTCAAGCATTGGAAACATGTCGGCTTGAGAGGTTAGCATTCAAATCCAAGGAATCCACAATTCACAGTGGATCTGGCAATTCCTGTGGGTATTTTACACGTGTGATCAGAGCTTGATACAGGACCTCAGGTGCATTTTGGGTGCCATGCAACCGCAATGGCACTTGAAAATGGACGAGAGTATAGGGATGGCATAGTGAGCATAGAAGACTTGAGCTACAGGTGGTCGCTCTTAGCCATCTGCGTCTTCGGCATCGGCTGGGACGGCATAAAGCTAACCTGGGAGATGCCTGGCATGAACTCTCTGTAGCTCTCTTGCTTCTCGCTCCTTCTCGCTCCTTCTCGCTCCTTTGCTTGTTTGTAAAGGGTTTAGGATTTAAGGGAGTGACAGAGGCACTTGAGGGGCATTGAATTCTACAGCAGTCACAATATGGGGATCACGGAGGGCCGTTCAAACCCTGACTTTGAGAGACCCTCCCAAAAGAGAACCGTACTGCTAATGACATGGGGGATGAGACCAATCAACTCTCAATCTTGCAACGCATCCAGTGGTTGTTGCTGTCACCCTTTCTTGTCATTTTCATTCTTTATGAGGAAGATCTCCGGTGGCAAGAAGAAAGACAAGGACTCCTTGGCTGCAACGTGGTAGCCTGTTGCTGACTCTTCTGGCAGGACAAGAAGGACAAGAAGGAGAAGAAAGACAAGAAGGAGCTGCCAGATTGCTTTGAGCTTGCACGGTGAGTCTTTCGGGTTCTGCAAATTCTCATCATTATCATAAATCAGATCAAGCTAAAGATGTTGGATTTCTTCTTGCCATCGGTTGCTTCTGCTTCCAATAAGCTACTCCAGGACAAGAAGGAGAAGAAAAGCAAGAAGGGAGACGATGAGGCTTGGCATGTTCGTGGAAGTTCACGGATTATGCTGCTCTGCAAGAGGTCACAGGTGATGAGTCGACTGAGACCAAGTCAGAAAAAGACGATGGCGATGACAAGAGCGCCAAGGACGCCCCAATGCTCCTTTCGGCAACTTGGCTTAGTCTTCTATCAGCCGTGGGCCCATGCAGGACACCGACGCAGAAGGACCAGATGTGCCGCTTGACCGCTTTGGGCACAAGCTGGAGCGTCTTGCGGAGGCAGAGAGAAGGATGACGGCAAGGATGACAAAGAGAGCTTGCGAACTCAGAGACGGATTTTTTTTTCATGTGCTAGTATTGTCATGCTGTGAGGTGAGAATGCCACGGACGCCGACAAAAATGAGTAGAGGAACAGTCTCAGCTCAGCTGTCACAGACCAAGAAGTGTCACCCCAGCCCGTGGCAAAATTCCAGCAATGAGGCAACCAAGTTGAGCTGCTCGTGTCGTAGGTTTAGTTATTTGCAGGCTGAGTATGAGCCAGCCTTGAAATACACACAGCAATCCTAGGTTGAAACTAGGTTGAAATGGTAGGGCCAGCTATTGGAAGAAAGCTCGGTCGCGATTCGTTTCTGGGTCTAAGCGTGCACTGAGCCCGGGTTTGATTTGTGAATGGCACTTGCATATGCAGGATGTTGAGGCTTGTGTCAGACTGAGCAGCATCTGATGACTGCGTTGCTGCCACGTTGGCTCGTTTAGAACGCCCTTTTTCGAAGGGTGTCTTCGTCAGAAGCTGCGTGCAGACCCCCTTTGCTTCATCCGGCTGCCCTTGCACGGGAAACGTGCATTGCAGCAAGGGCTTACACAGTTCAAAGGACGGAATAAAACATGCAAACGCAGCGCACCATGAAGCCGAGGGGCCATGGTTCTGACTTCAGCATGTCCCCCAAAACCTATGTTTGGCAACAAGGGCGCGTGAACATTCATCATGTATGCTACTGTGCATCGCGCTGAAGCGGACTATGACAGCATTGGAACCAGTGGCCGGGAAGAAGCCTCATCATCCGGCCAGCCGAGTCAAAAGAAAGAGGCCAGGTAGGATTGCGGAGGACCTAGGAGGCAAACATTTTCAAAAGGATGTAGAACAACACATTGTTGGTGTGTTGGCCAGTAGGACACGGCCGTGGAACCACCATGGGGGAAACATGGTGCAAGATCAAAGAAACACCGTGGCCGCGCATGAGGAGTCTATTTTTGTAAAGTACGATGAGAAACAGCCCAGAGAGAAAATCGCAGAGTGTTGAGCGACAGACGGCGCTAGTTCTTTTTTAGCCTGCAGTCAGACCTAGTCACCAGTCACTCCTCCACCGACAGGCTGGCAAAGTCGCAGATTGGACAAGAAGGGATCCCACGATCCCAGTCAAATTCAAAAGGAAAGCGTGCAGCAACCTCGCATATGAGGGGTTATTAGAGCAAACAACGTCAGCATGCGCAATTGAGACTTGTCCGTATGCTTCAAGCAATGCAGGCGCAGCTGCTCAGAGGACTTCTTGGACCATGCGAAGCATTGCACCTAGCGCCGTAATTCGGACCAGACAACTCAATGTTGCAGTTTTGTGCGAACATGCTGTTGCGGCCCCCTCTTCCATTTGTTCCTGGCGTGCTGCGTTCGAACTCTATGCATTCGAACTCGACCCTGATAAATTGGCGCACGCGACGCGTCAACATGTTGTGGGTGTACCTCAGGTTTGAGCCCTTGCAGCTCACCGATAGCCCCTCAAAGGCCGCTTCGGCATTTCCTGCCTGTAGCATGTTCCAACGGTTTTCTTCTCTCTGTCTGCTTCGCTTCCATGCTTATCTCTCCTTTTGGCAGGGTACCAATCGAAACCAAAAAGAAGCTCAAGCTGCCACCTTTGCCAGTTCAACTGGACCGCACCAGACGCCCGGTTTTTGGTTTTGGCGAACGTTATGCCAGAACCTTGTTGAGCTTCCGACTGCGCTGCTCCTTGGGCCCAGAAGAGCGGCATTTTGACGCACTCGGAACCCGGGGCTCATGCTTGCTATCTTATTGCGGCTGTTCAAGCATCTGTCTTCGAGAGTTGGTGGGGTTGAAAGGGGACAGGCATGCCTTGCGTGATTTCAAGTGGCGACAAATCTCACTGCAAAAAGTCGGAAACTGGTGAATGACGAAGGCTACGGGGCTCCCAGCGACCTTCGGGCTGGCAAAAAGAGCAACATAAAGCGCAGCGGCAACTGTGAGATACACAAGTGGCGGCAAGTTTTGATGGCGCTCCTGACCAGCTTGACAGCTTTCAGCTAGTGTTTGATGAACTTTCGGCCACACTTTTGCGGGATGAGGGTTGGGGGCTACTGGCAGATGTTGCAGATTTGAAGCAAATACTGTATCTGCAGATCTTGCTCACACATGTCATGGCCCGCGCGGCCAACATTATCACTCTTGCAAGGGCTGGCGGTGGCAAGACCGTCAGTCCTCGCGCTTGTTGGCCTCTGAGGCCCACCTGTCAGCGATGATGAACCGCGCATGGGAAGATCAAGGAGGCTGGCAGCTGATTTGAAAGGTGATCGAGGTGGGTTCACCGGGGACCTTATTGTGTTGCGGAACGTCGCAAGCCAGGCGGAGTGAGACCAAGTTCAAAACCATCATGGCCACGACAAGCGCGCCTCAATGAGTTGCTAGCTTGTAGCCAAAGCGTGGTTTAGGCTTCCGACAGCCATGCTCTTCGCGTATAGTTGCGGGACACCGACGCACAAGCGGGGTCGGCCGTGGCCATCTACCAAGGTTGTCAGTTTCAGCTGCACTCTGACAAGTTCAACGATCCTAAAGTCTTACAACTTCGTTTACCCGCTGACTAGCGTAGAGGGCGCACAGATATGGATCGAAGACCCAGATGGTGAGCATCAGTGCCCTTGCTGGTCGCGTTCTGGACTTGCCAGCTGTTTTCCGGCCAACGAAGAAACACTGCGCGGTTCTTTGGAACGGGCCTGGTGATGCCCGAGTAGTGATTGTGGCTTTCACGCCTCGTGCGCATGATGGACGGAGGGATTCTGAGCGGCAGTTGTTAGTTGAATTAGGATTTAGAGTACCGAGCAACGTCTAGAATTTTCTTTTCAGGTATGTAGCTGTTTCATGCTGTCTAAAAAGGGGGAGTTGAGAAAGCAGATGCTCCCAGGCCACTGTATGTAGATAAACAGTTTCACTCGAGTACGCTTACTCCGAATTTGGCTCAAAACACAAGAAGCGTAGCGTGTCTTACTGTGATTATCACTACACATTTGACACTCCCCTAAATAATTGGGGAAACTGTCTCAAAGAAGTGTTAGCCCAACCCATGATAAAGTGAGAGTGTCGGTGGTTTTGAGCGAGCGATTTTGTCTGTGTCGCAGCATGAAGCTTTCTGCATCCACTCGCAAAGTTCGCGGCTTCACACCTCAAGGCAGCCATATGCTGGCAAGAATATTCCAGCCAGACAGCAAAGCAAGCATGCCGTGCGCAGTCGTCATTAACATGTTGAGAGTTGACAGCACTTAGCATATGATTGCGATGGATGGCAGCCCCATGCTCATCAGGCTGACGTACAGCTCATATAAAGAAAAGGCGAGTAGCTAATGCAGCATCGATGCTCAGCGCGATTGAAACGCCGGCTTGCCGCTCAGAAAGGATCCCAAAAGGCTCATTGAATTTTCTGATGTTTGCAGCTACGCTGAGGTGTGCACGGCGGTGGGGCGCCGCGAGACACCGCTCCCTCGAAGAAGGCCAGTGCCGGTCAAGTGCCGGTATCAGAGCTGTCGTAGCTTACCACTCCTCCGTCTGGCACCAAAGGTAGAAAAAATGACGTTACTTCCAGAGTCATCGTGGGCAGTGCAGTGTTATCAGCCCTCGAGCCATGCAGGAGCTGTGCGCGGCAGACTCCATTTCTAGTCTGGCGCTCGTACTTCTGTCATCGCCATTTGGCTTTGTGAAGAGCTTGGAGCTCTTGCCTGAGGACTCCAATGCAGCTAGGGGTGCAGCTTTCACGCTTGCAGTAGCATGGCAAAGCCCTCAGCCGTCGGAATCATAGAAGGCCCTTGTGCACTCATCTGCCGGGAGGCAGTCTGGACGGCTCGGCAAGATCTGCCGCGCCAAGGGTTCCCTGTGCGCGGGCTTGTGGGAGCTGCTGTAGTCCGCAGCGTAGTCACGCTTCCTCAGCGACATACGAGCCATCCAAGCCCCACAGACCATATCTGATCTTGATCAGCTTGAGAACCTGGCGCAGAATTATCAGATGAGTATTTCCATTTGCATCAGAGTACTTGAGCGTTCGAATGTGCTTCTTCAGCACTTGCCACCTGCCAGAACGAGCTTTAGCTGCCTAGCTTGCACCAAGCCAGGTTTCTCAAGGCGGCGGTGGAGCGCAACAGCCCAGGAAATGCGTCAGGACGCCACGGAGATCCGCTGCGTTTTTTAGCCGTGCTTAGCTTGGACCGCGGCAGATTGTGGTCTTGTTGTAATTCTGTCGCATTTAGCAGAAGTCTTGCAAGACAGCAGTCTTTTCACGGGCCTGCCAACCTGTGCACTCAGAACTGCTCCCGGATGGCTTGCTCAGGGCAGCTGCAGCCACCGGCAGACAGCTGCTTAGTGACGTGCAGCCGGGGCCGACAACCTTGCAAGGGTCAAGCCACCCCGAGCTCGTCGGAACTCCGCTGTGAGATCTTTCTGAAAGCGCAAATTAAGTGTCATTCCCCCCGAATTGCCTCAGCTTTCTGCGCCCGCAGCTCAGCCCCTTGCAGGAGCCTTGGAGTGCCGTTGCGGGCAAGGCCGGCAAGGACTCGGTGATCGTCACGGACCTCATTGCACAGCTGGGGTCTCAAAGACGAAGTTCAAGTTTGGGAGTTGAGGCCTGCGTCATGCGCGGAGGTCTTTCATCAAGATCTTCAACAATGCATTTCTGAACACCATCGAGAGAGTGCCATACTGAGAGAAGCGTGCATTGATCCAAGGATCTCTCTTGTCTCGGCCTCACCTTCTGCGCAAAGGTCCGGGAACCTCATCTCTTGAATGTGCTGGCAAACTTGCGGAATTTTGCGGCACGGGTCCCTTCAAAATATCGGGGCAGCATCGAGAAGGCACAGGGGCGAGACTTGGGTTTCCCGGAAGCTGCTGCCGGCTTCTCGTTGACTTTCTCTGCATAGGCACTGAAAACCGAAGGTGCCAGCCCGCAGCACAGCATGCGTTGGCAAGTTCAAGCAGCTGCTGCTTCAGGCTTCTTGTCCTTCCTGCTCTCTCGGGCTGCCGTGAGCTTGCTTTGTGCCAAGGAGCTCCTCGCATATCTCCTTGTGGCTCTCCCATTCATACCCACTCAAAGTTAGAATTATGGATTGCCGTGACCTACCCATTTGATGTGGAGACCTTGGCAGGCCACCCTCCCGCCCCAGTGCGAGCCAAAGATCTCCAAGGAGCACGAGGAGCTGGCCACGGTCGTCGAGGACCGCTTTCCCAGGCTTTGAAAAGGTGGATGCCCGAGGTTATGATCTGGTTACTAGTGAGGGACTTGGGTGAAGAAATCGCGGGTTTTCTATCAAGACCAGCAATGTGCTTGAACGGCAGGAGCTCTACATTGCGGCGATGCTTCACGCTGAGGATCAGTGGGACCTGGAGCTCAAAGCCGACGGGAAGACCTTCATGGCGGGGGCCGCCTAGTCGGCCTAAACCCTAATCCCGAAACTCTGAAATCAAGGAAATACCTAAGAACATGCAGACATCATGCAGACTCCTAGCCTAGTCTTATGCCAATTTGGCATGCAGCGTAGAAAAGTTGCTGTCCTTCAGGCTGTGGCCACATCCTTCGTGAAGCATCTGGCAGACCCTGCTCCTTTAAAGGCCCCCAACATCCAGGCCGGCCTGAACGCAGATCCCTGTTCAAAACATTCGCAACCTTGACTTGCTGCTTCAGGCGGCTCTTCTAGGCTTGGATGCAAATCCGCTGATATGGACCAGGCCAGGGGCTCAAAGCACCAGCATGAGCTAGTTCTGACGTAGTCTTGAAACAGATGAGTCTGCAGCAAATCATCGAAGCCTAAGCCTAAGCAAGCCCTGGGACTCAAAGTGGGCCACCATGCTTTGCCCTGCTTGCACGCCTGCAGCTACAGCGGATTTGACCGGATGATCCAGACAGCAGGTACGGTTTGGATCTGCTGGGCATCTCATTGGACCTATCCCTCAGCAGTTACCAGGCCCTGACCAGAGTACATCGCTTGACGCATGTTCTTACATGGCTCAAGGTTACTGGTGCGGCGTTGAGAGTAATGGATTTGCGGCGAGTTGGCGGGTTCTGAAATGTGCGAAGTTAGGGTCTACTGTAGTACGCGCTACGCAGAATCCAAGATCAGTCTGCCCCACAGAGCGGTCTTCTTTGAGCCATGTGGGCAGGGATCACTCCCTTTTAAGCAAGACTTCAAAACAGCTATTCGTGGACTGCAATTATGAGTACGACCCATCTTTGAAAGGGTGCAAGGAAGAAGATGCTTCTGTTGGCTTCTCCCTTAGCATCTCATTGTGCAGCCCATACTGGGCCTTCTCCTGACCAGGGTGCCACGTCTTCCCAAGCAGCCGACCGTCGCAAGGCGAGGCTTCGCGCATCGACTGCCTCTTTACCCTAGTGCTTATAGCAATGAGGAAATGTCCTAGAACATTCTTCTTGGGGACTTTGTAGGGGCTGCTATAATGATCAGCAGCTGTTAGGCCATCCAAGCTGCTGCAAAGCTCGTGAGGTCTTGCAACACTACTCAGTACGCCTAGTTCGAAATTAGCGAGATGCACGATATTGAGATCTCCGAGAAAAGCCATTCCACAAAGTCTGTTTTACCAACCATGTAGTTCATCATCTTCGCAAGAGCAGGTGTCCCTGCTTGGGGGCGACTCTCTCTATGCCACTGCTCAGTGGGCCATGGCCAAGCTACACTCTCGCCCGCCCGAAACTCGTGTCTTTGAAGTGACAGCAAAGTCAATTATGGTGTGGCTTCCGACAGCTGCAGCGAGGTGCCGGAAGCTGATTGCAAAGACCATCGCATCGTGCTTCTGCTCCCGCAACTTCTTTTGACACACGTTCTGTTTGAACATGTTTGGGGGATGTAGGACTCTAACACGCATGGTGTGAGTCCATGTACCGCGTGCCCTGTTGGACGGACAGTAATGACAAAGACTTCAAAAGCACCCGCTTCTGCGACCCTAAATCATGATCATGCTTCATCGCATGGTCATCTTCTTCTAACATTATCCTGTTCCGCCTCATCGGGAGAAAGTGTTACCATGATACACATACTACTTGTAGATATTTGTAGTTGACCATTCTTGGTGCTCTCGACGTTCGTTACCATGTTTTCTTCGCAAACCGTTCCAGGAAATCCAATACGCAGACAAGTTTACAGACCAACCATTAGAAAGTCCTGGCATCCTGTGAGATCATGGGTTCCAAACCCAACATGCTTCAACAGTTGTCGGGGGGTTGTCTGTGAGGGCGGAAAGATGTTCGACGAGACTAAGCAGCTACAAGGTTGCTGTGGCACACTTGGAGATCAGCACAGGTACAGCGATGGACAGCTCCGGAAGCGCGAACTGTTGTGGCCAGCGCCTGAGAGTAGTTATTAAATCTGTTAACAGTTAAGCTGTCGGGGATGCGATGACTTGTCAGGAATCTGGACCTGACAGTGAAGCAGTACCTAGAGATTGAGCAAGTGGCCGGGGTGGCAGCGTGGGCTCCCCAGCAATCTTACGCACCCAAACAGCTGATGTGCTGAGATGTGCCGGCGCATCTCATGATGGTGGCGGCGGCGGTGGCGGTGGCGGTGGTGGCGGCGGTGGTGGCGGCGGTGGTGGCGGCGGTGGTGGCGGCGGTGGTGGCGGCGGTGGCGATGGTGGCGATTGGCAGTGCGCTGTGCGTGGCTGCGGCGGTGATGGTGGTGGAGTGATGCAAGGAGTTGTGTTCATCCTGTCACTACATGCTTTGGATGCCTGCACGTTGTGGTGCTGAAAGTACCGAACAAAGAAGCGTGTATAGAATCGAGCATGGAAAGGAAGATCCCTATGGCATTTCAGACATGGAATCTCACTGCTTGTGCACATTACCTTGAGTGAGGTTGTTGTATGCGAAGCCTTGGACCGCAGGTTCTTCGGAGCGTCCACGGCCTGCGCAGCCTTTGTGAACAACGTCAGCGACGACATCGCTCAGCAGATGGCAGAGCGGCTCGCCTCAGCAAGTAGCTTTTTACCCGCTTGAAGAAATTTGGATACAAAGATACATGCTGATACTGGTAGCTGCGAGGTTTGGGTCCGACATCGGCCTGGTGGTCGGGCTGCTGAAGGATGTGCGGACTGTGGGGATGCGCAGCTCGGGACTTGGGGGTCCCAAGCCGAAAGCCCAAAGCAAATCTTTCCTCATCGAAGAGAGTTGACTCCCATCCTTCAAGGTGCCCTGAAGCTGGGCCGCATCTCTGCGCCAATCATCTTCGCAATGCAGAAGGAGCCCACCCCCAAATCTGTTGATATCGAGCAGGTCTCTTCAAGATAGCCATGACGCAGACAAAGCTGTCTGTATTGATTACCTTCGTCGTTCTCATGTCATGAAGAGCTCTCCTGGCTGCAAAGCTTAGCGGGAGGACCCCCGGCTGCGTGAGCTCCTCTCCTCGCGACTCAGCCAGGGAGCCTCCGACTTCGAGGAAGCACTGCGGAGAGTCAAGGACCCGAAGTTAAGCTTTCAGGCTAGCTCAGGCTAGTGTCAACTGAGGATTCATCAATTCTTTGTGTTGGGGGTAGGCGACGGATCTAGGCTTCAAGCAAAGATGTAGGGCTTCAAGTGCTTCTCCTGGTGCCAATGTTCGGAAGCATCCCAAATCCAGCAGCCCTGTGAAAAAACCTTCCTGCAGCAGGAGAGCGGCATGATGCCTACGATTCGGCTGGCGCCTTGCCTAGCTTTCTGAGTACTGCAAGCATTGCTGCAAAAGCACAAAGAACGTAGTGATTTCAAAGTGCAGTCTGGCAGTAGAGGGAAGACTAGAAATGGGCAAGGGGCTGCGTAAGTTCTGAGAACTAGGAACGCTGAGCGCTTCTGTTCCGCCACTGCTAGTGGCACTCCGATCAGCAAGTGAGCTGCAGCACGTGAGTGCATCGTCAAACAAACTCGTCTGCAAAATTGCTTGAGCCATGTTTTTCCGTGGAGAAGAACCGTGATGCAATGTGATGGCACCCGACGGCGCCAAAGCACCAGAAGCTGAAGTAAGCATAGTCCAGGTGAACAAGCTGGGCGCCAGGGCAGCAGCTCGCTTGGAGTGCCTGGAGGAGTCTGAGGAGAAGGAGGCGAAGCCTGTTGGAGAATTGAAGACAGCAACAACAGCTTACAAGCTGCTTGCTTTCAGAGTTGGGCTTTTCTTGAAGGCACGCCAACAGCTAGAGAATCCCACGTCCCTGAAATTTGCCAAAGCAGATATTCACCAGCAAGAATGCCCAAACGACCGAAACGACCAGCAAGAATTTGCGAACCCCGCATGTCGGAACGTTTCCACCAGGCGTTGCTGACACTGGTCCGGGGCGTGGCCTGCTTGCCGCTCATGGAGCAGAGTGGCAGCGAGGCTTCTCATCGTATGAAGGGACGTTTGATCATCATTGATGTAGGACTCCATTCCCTGAACACTTCCGTATGAGAATGGCTTGGGTGGCGCATGCTAGATTGGCAAAAAGAATCATAGAGCTGTGATTATGATGAGGATCACTTGCATGCTTTTCGGGTTCCCTGCGTTGCGGCGTTGCGCAGGCCGTGGACGACCTCACGGGCCCGGAGGTGCTAACCGCCACCGGCTAGGGCCTAAGGCTTCTGCGCGAAGTGCTGGCGAGGACGAGTCGGATGCACAGAGCCGGATCTTCGACATGAAGGCACCTGCAGCTGCGCGAGCTCTCCAAGCAGGAGTGTCGTCTCCACATGTGAAGCGATGTCTTCGTGCAACAAGACAAGTACATGCAAGCCGCAATGGGCCGTTGATACATGCTGTGCACACTGCGTCACGGGAAAGATCCTGCGGATGTTGGCATGCAACAAACAGAAAACATATTGTCAATAAGTCAAGCGCATACTCTTGCTTTTGAACACTGTCAGCGTCTGCGTTTCTTTTCATAGTTTTCTTGCTTTCACAGGTGGCCAATCTCCGTCTCAGGGCAGAGCTACAGCGGATCCGCAGCTGCGAGCAGCGCTCGAGGGACAGGCGGGGGGCAAAGCGTAGCTTTTTTCCCATTTTGGGGCCAATGGCTTTGACAAGAAGAAAGTGGTTTCGGTAAGACGAAAGGGAGCCGCAGGGTAACTTTCACCAAGGCTTCTTCCAAACAGCATTAAAGCTTATTTTTCTGTGCGTGCGGCGCACTTTGCGCAGGCACGCTTGTTCAGTTCCTGTTGTAAAAGTCGTGACCTTCAGCACACATACGTGAGGTAGGAGAAAATACAATTGAAACGTGAACTGTTGTCCAAGGCTTCAACCAGCTGATCTGACCAACTACATGCCAAACTGAAAGACTGTTCTTGGCACATCATTCCTGTCTTCAGGCTTTATTTCCCAGCCCCGGGGCCGGGTATGTGTGAATTACCCCAAGCCCTAATCCCCAAACCCCAAAGCAAGCAGAAGTGTCAGCATCAAGGCACACAAGATATTGGCAGGGTCCCAAAAATCAAAGACTGCATGTCCGCTATCAAAATATTGGCTTCACGTGGGAAATTCACAAATTACAGACAGTTGTGATTCCTACCCAAATTGCTCAAAGAGATGAACGTCTTGCAAAGAAAATGGAACCTTGCAAAATCCTTGAAACCTCCTGAATAAACGCGAAATCCACCTCAAATCTCATCGAACTTCGGTTCCGCCTCCGTTCCACAGTTCTGTCTTTTTTTGTGCCTCCTTGTTATTTCCGGTTCCAGGGACTGGGTTCGTTTCCCTGGTTTGGGTTCCGACTGTCGGTAGTTTAGCTCAAGTGTTGAGCTTTAAACCTGTTTTTAGACGGGGCGTTCCCGCTTTTGTTCTTGCTTTTCTGCTGGATACCTCTCACGCCTAACGACGTGCTTTCTATTTGCTTTATTGAACCTCCCCTCAAAACTTCCCGGCTCCATCCCCTCCATTCACTCTGGGCCCTGGTTGCGGTTTAGGGTTCAGGGGCTTAACAGTCCTCACATTGGGGTTCTTCTAGCAACTTGGGGGGCACTTTGGGCAGTGCAGGTTGTAGTATTCTGGGCTACATAAGAGGGGATTTTGGAAAAAAAAGAAACGGAATGAGCAACATCAACAGAAATCGTAGGAGCTGACAAAGAGCACTATCAACATGAAGAGTCGCAACTGTTGAGATGGTAGCACAGGAAACAAAATTTGCATGCTGTGCTGAACAACAGCAAGGAAGATGTTTGTTGATAACTCTTTCGTTGAACTTGACGTACGTCAGCAAATTCATCCAAGATCATCTACATCGCTGCTAGGCAATGTCCATTTACAACAGCCTTGCAAAGACTGAAGCCAAATCATCCAAAATCCCCATATCCTCGCAAAACCTAGGACCTAGATTCTTAAACCCTGAGCCGACTGTGCGGAGCTGTGCGAGATTTGTGCGAGGCTGGAGTCCATTCAGCAAGTGGCCCGAGGGTTGGAGCTGCGGGCTCCTGCACGCAGCCTTGGCGGTGCTTGGCAATTCCTGGCTATGCGAGATTTACTGATGACCGTCTACCTCCAGCTTGAGCTGCCAGGGCCGTCGCCCAAGGGGCTAGGCCTGGAATTCGACTCCCAGGCGCAAGGGCAACCAGCTGAGCTCAGCGTTCCAGACAATTCTCCTGAAATTTCCACACTATGCCAGGAGATTGAGTGGCTTTTGATGCGTGGTCTGGAGCGGCGAGCTCCCCTGCAGCACACCCAGTCCTGGCTATTTTGGAAGGGGTAAGGGTGAAGGCGGCGTGTTGAAATTAGTGGAATTTGAAATTCAACCGAAAGCACTCAAGGTCTCAATGGCAAGAGCTGTGTACATCATCTTCATAAGTATTAGCAGGGGATGGTGAGCAGCTTTTGAATGATCATTAAATCTGTGGCAAGGTGACGACGTGAAAGCCCCACAAGCTTCTGTTCGCCTAAAGTTTCCATGGAAAATAGTTCTGTCAAAACATTTACATATTGCGAAGATTCCCTGCATCTATCTATATGTCTGTGTATCTATCTATCGATCTATCTTCTACCTCTGTTTCATTAGTATACGCGTGTGTGTATATATATATGTATAACAACACATGCGGCTCACATGTATGTGGATGCTCCAGGCCTGAGCAGCTGGACTTGGAGTCTTTGCTGTCCTGCATCTCCGATGGCCAGGAGGAGGCCTGAGTCGGCCTGAGTCCATGGGCTTGAAGGGGGCTTGCAGTCGCATCTCCCGAAGCTCGATACCCCTAAGGCTAAGCTCTCAGCCCAACTGCGGCCACAGATGTCTGCACTGGTGAAGCACTGGTGAGGTTCAGCGGCGCCTCTTGGGCCTCAGCGATGCAGCGCAGAGTCAGAAGCCAGTGACTGAGCCTCCCATGTTCAAAGGAATACGAAGACAAGGGCCGACGTCTCTACATTTACATGGCTTCCAGCACATGAGGTAAGGAGAATGAAGGATCTAGTGGTTTGAGAAGCAAGGATGCCGGATTCTTTACCGACGGCGGGCAATGAGTGGTAATTTAGCGCATTTTACCGGAGTAGTCTGATCCGAAGTATTGATTTTTCTCATAATGCGAGGCTTTCGTAGGCGATAGAATCGTGTTGGCATGAGCAGAGGGAAAGTGGGCGAAGCGATTGAAATAGGTCTAGGAGTCTAGCAAGATGCGCAGGCTGGAGACGTACTGAGAACCAGGGCATGATCTGAGGCACATTGAAGCATCTCGAGCCGAGGCTGAAGTATGCCGTCCAGGAGGTCTTCAGCAGCGGCGGCAAGCGACTTCGGCCAGCCCTTTGCCGGCTCCTCAGCCTCTGCGTCTCTCTTTCTGTCTTCAGCGACCCCCCTTGAACTGACTTGGCCAAGGTTTGCTCGTACACTCCATGCTGCCCGGGGCACAGTGAGGAGAGAGTCTGGCCGAGTCAATTGCTTTGCTTTTTGGCTCTTAGGGATGACTCCGCTGCGGCCTCCCAGCGAAGGCATTTCCCATAACTGGACTTCAGCAAGGCAAGCGTGAAAGAACGCAGGTCAGTGTATGCACAAACGGCAGCGGTTCCTGGTCAAGGACGGGCTTGCCTGCTAAACTTGCCCAAGCACGGATGCTTCCATGTTAATTCTCCACAGCTCTGAGGGTGCCTTTCGGCGCCTTGCGTGCCTGGAGGTGCTGCCTATAACAAGGTTCTAGTGCTGGCAACGGCCATTGAGATCATCCATACTGCCTCCCTGGTGCACGACGACATCCTGGACGATGCGGACACCAGGCCCGCTCTGGTTCGATTTGTTCCCTCAGTGGTGGGCCCCTTGAGCTTCCTTGGGTTCCTTATGGTTCGCTATTGTTTTCTGTATGTCACGCGTGTGGCAGGAGACAGCAGCAGACGATGCATCGGATTTTCGGTCCGGACGTTGCTGCTTAGGTCTCAGGACACTCAGGAGCAGATGTCTTGCTGCGTACACAGAAATCAAGTCACAAAACGCTGGGGTTTGCTGAGCGTTTCAGGTGCTCAGCGGAGATTTCCTCTTTGCCCATGCGTCGGGCCTCATCGAGTCCTTGGAGGACGATGAGGCTGGAAGACCAGAAAGACCAGGAAGCCCAGAAAGCCATGTGTTGCTTGTTGGTTGTTTTCTTTGTCCTTTGCCAAGGTAACTCGACTGGTTTCCCTGGTGATCGAAGAGCATCAGCCTCGGCACGTGCTCCGTTGGCAGTTGCCGTCGCCCTGTTGCCCATGGCAGGTTTGGCTACGGCGAGCTCTCTCAGAGCGCGAAGCGCTTTGACACCCAAGTAAGTCTGTTCAACTACTTGAAGAAGTACGCGGCTCAGCTGCTGCCAGGGCATGGCAATGCTTGCACGCTTTTGCAATGAGGAGTTTTTACAAGACTGCATCGTTGCTGGCTGCGGCCTGCTTCCACCTCAGAAGTCCTCAACCGTCCAGAAGAAGAGGACAAAGGAGAGAAGAATTCCAATCTGTGACACTTGGTGTGACTTCGCGTTTCACGGGCTTCCCGTGTCCAATCTGAGCTCGAGGCCGGGCGAGCGCAGTGCTCACGGGCCCGCCGGGTGAGGTCTGCGACGTCCTGTGCCCTGCAAGTCCGGAGGTGCTGAGGATGAGACGTTTAAAAGGGGATGCTCAACTCCTTTTCAAAGGGATGCAAACCATGTTGCAGGTACAGCTATGGTTTCTATCTTGGCCTGGCATTCCAAATCGCCGATGATGTCCCTTTCTCAGGGTTTTCCCGGAGCCGTGTTGCCACATGCTGCGACATCTCCCAGACCCTGATTCAAACATTGGCCGCTAAGAGTAGCCGGCACTCCCAGAATGGGCGAGGTTCTTGATTTCGTTGGTGGGGAGGAGGAGCTTGGTAAGCCCACTGGCCAGGATTTGCGGGAAGGCGCGTGCGACGCGTGCAAGCACTTCTCAGATCTTATGAGACGGACATACCATGATTTGGTTGCATGATATGACCTGGAAAGCATTGTTGGATTCATTTTGGAACAGTGCTCGATGGAGTAGATGCTAGCAAAGCACTACGAGCTCATTGTGGCACATTCCACAAGGCATCCGCCACTGCCAGGAAACCTGACAGCGCCCGTCATCCTCTGTCTTCATGGCAACGAGGACAGCCCCCGCCTTGCAGGCCTCTTTCCAAGTGCTGCAAGCGTCAGCTGGCTTTTGAACTTTAGAGGACTTGGGGATGACCCCAGCGGCTGGAAGCAAGGAGCTTGCAAGGCCCAGCTCCCACCTTGTGGAGCCCAGTTACCTGTGGGTTTGTAGCAGGTAAAGGTTCTGAAGCTGCCAGGATCATCCAGAGGCGATTCTGCCAAACTGGTGATTTGGAGCGGGCTCTGCAGCTTATTGATGAGGCCTGTCCGCTGTGGAAACCTTTCCCCTTGCTCTTTCATTGTTTCAGCACTCGTATGATTACGTTGACATGTTGATCACGAAGAGCAATCGCACTTGGCAGGGGGGCGGTGTCCAAAGAGCTTATGCTCTGGCCGAGAAAATGGCTAACAAGGCAGGACCCATCCATTTGCTGCCAGTGCCTGTAAACGCATCGTCTTTTTTGTTAAAGCGTTGCCGAACTGAGGCCTTGGAAGCCCTGTCGCTTGTAGCCCCTGCCGATACGGATGCCCGCCGCGCACTGGCGGGTTTGACAAGGCAACCCCGGGGACTCGCGCTTGAAGCTTCTGAACCCGTAAGCGGTTTAGCATTCGTGCGCGGTTGTGGGTCTTCAGACTTGAACTTGGAAAGTTAGAGAAGGTGGGCGGTGAGGCGGTCCAGCTGAGCGGCCATCGGTGTGGAATGATGTCATCTCTTCAGCGTAGGTGCAACGGACAGCTGCGGCCTTAAAGCTGTGTCCAAAAATGTTTAAACAGTTTTCCCGGCTCTGAAAATCAGCAGCTGCAACACCCAAACAGAGGTGTCCATAGCAAACGAGGTGTCTTCGCAGCGCGGGCAGCGTGGGCATAGCAAGCATTAGCAGTGGCTGTTGTAGGCCTCACCGAGCAAGATTTTCAACAAACAACTGCGGCGCTCTCCCGCAAGCTCAGGCCACTGCGCGGTGGCTTAGCTGTTGCGCAATCAAATCCTTGCTTGCACCATCCCATTTGCATGCAGCCAATATAAATGAGAGATGTCTACGACGAGTCTACGAAGTATCATGAAGAATTCATACCTGAGATTGTGTTAAGCCACCCTGCGGCGACTTAGCAGCTGCGGTCCTGCACTTTTAATGGCAGGTTGATGTCTGGGGTGCCTGGACAAAACCAAGATCAAGATGTGAGCCGGACTGACCTCGTGCTATACTCCGTTCATGAGCAAGAGCTGGCACACTCCTGGCTCGAAGCTTCGCGTTCCAAATTAATTCATTCATGCCGTCCACGCATGGAGACGGCACGGGGGATATGGGATCTGGGCTCGCTCGCTGAGGCAAAGGGCCGGGAATAGCAGTTGATGACGCAGCATGCGTGGACCGCATGGACTGCCAGGTGAATGGTGACAGCCAAAGCAGCCCAGGGTTCAAAGCCAAGATTGTTTCTATTCATTTGCTGAGCTTGCAAGACTAGACGCTTTGCTGAGGTCTGTCCCTGTTGCATTGACGAAGTCTCTTTCAGAAGCAGAGACACTGCAGTCTATGGAGACCACCACCCCGGGGTCGGATGCTACAGGAAAGGAAATGGTGCCTTTGAAAGATGAGGAGTTCAAGGACCCCAAGCAAGACAAGGGTCCGCTGCTCACGGCGCCTGTGCTTGCTGAAGCTCCAAGCTGGCAAGCGCGCCATCCTCCGTTGCCGCACTGGCAGTGGCAGCAGTGGCACTGGCAAAATCAACACAGAATTGCACATCCCCATCCCAATCTCCATCATTTTCAGCCGCGTCAGATCAGTTTGCAGCCTCCTTCCCCAAATGAGGTGCAAGGGCTTCAAGGGCCTGAAAGTTTGGCCGGCAAGAAGTTCCGTAGTATTCAGGAGCTGGATGATGCCATGAAGCTCCGGAGTCGAACCATGGAGTCCGAGGATCATAATGGCCATGTGCCTGCACAGCACTCCCCACATGCTTGGGCGGGAAACGACCACATGAAGTCCAAGATGCCACTTCCTCCTCCCCCACCGCCTCCACCACCACCCACACAGGTGGGTACCCAGGCAGCCCAGGGCCTTCAAGGCCCGGAGAGCTCCTTGCATGACAACTTCCTGAGATCTTCCTTTTTGACCTTTGCCAGGTGGGATGACAATGCAGACCGGCACGGTGCGCCGGCTCTTTCCCGGCAAAGGCCGGGCAACGAGGGAAAGAAGATCTAGGGAAAGGGGACTTGGGCTTGAGTTCGTTTCCTGTGTCTGCTAAAGGGCAACGCTTGCACTGTTCGAGGCTTTGGCTTCGTCGCGCGCGATGATGGCGGACGAGGGGCCAGGACTGCGAGCCTGGTTTCATGATGCGTGGGGAATGCTCATGGCAACAGAAGATGTGTCTATTTGTCTGTGTGCGTGTGTCAATGCAAGGAGGCCTTTCATGCTATAGTGCAGTATTCATGCACCACTGCCAGTAAGCGTTCCCAGTCCCTGCTGTTCATGACAGTAGTACTTCGACCGTGACTAGCAGCAGCAGCATTTCCAAGATGGCCACAAGAAGCGATAGGATCCACAGGATATAAGTGACGACCCTTCGGCCATGCGGGTAGGGGTGTAGGCCGGGGCCCCTGTCTAGGCGTGTTGCTGTGGCCAGGCACGGTCGCGGCGACGTCTTCCTTCACTTCTCGGACCTGGAGCCGGGAGTCACTGGCTCAGCGTCTCTTTCATCGAAGAGATGATGACTCCAAGCTGGGGTCAAGGAGGCAAAGAGAGCTGAGCTTTGAGAAGTTTGTTGCTTAAGAGAAGTTAAGAGAAAAGGAGTTCAAAAAGTTTCCCTGGAACCTCGGCTCGCCTCAGGTGGGTTCTTCCGAGCTCGCTGTGGGTGCCAGGGTGAAGTTCTACTGGGAGGACCCCTCACAAGAGCTAGAGCTGGTGCGGGAGGGTAGCTGGGCGGGGGGGTAGCTCTTTTTGGAGCTGGAGGGCTGAAGGGGCCACCGTCCACACAAGAGCATTGGCAGGTAATGTTGCTTACGTTGGCGAGTCACTCAGAGCCTGAGAGGAGCCAGCAGACGCCCAGCGTGGACCGGGCGGCCGCGCCCGGCGCGTGTCGCTTGCTGAGCCTGAGGACACCCCCCCTGGCTCGGGTAGGGTGGGAAGCAGTAACCAGTGGAAACCCCGCACTCCTTCCCCACAAGGTGTAGTGTATTTCAGCGTTTCGAGGATTCAAGGGTGAGCTAGTGTCAGTACCAAGGTGGCCAGGCAATGCAGTACTACTCCTGTGAATACTCCTGCATGAACATCCCTTGTGCTAAACAAGTTGACACATAGGGTTGGTTGGTTTATTTGGGGTCGGAGTCAGGAGCAATATGGAGCAATCTTAGCATTCCCCCTGCATGGTGTTTGGTGACCTTCTCTGGCAAGCAGTCAGATACTCTAGCGCACAATTTCTCAGGCAGAACAAACCTGTTTCAGTCAGATCGGGAATTGTGGAAGGGAAGAGAGGGATCGTCATGGAAGAGGCAGTACAGCATGGATTCCTCCTTCTTACTCGGTACCATATGGAGTGTTCTGAGTCACGCATGGATCTTGGTCAGGGCACGCCTGCGATGTCCATGAATTCGGCCGCAGCCTCGGAACTTTGCCTCATTCCAGTCTCGGAAAGTCTCGGTGGCTGAGGCCTTCGGGGCTCATGCCGTGTGCAGCTCAGATACCTACGAGCTACGCGGCTTGCGGACCCACAACATCTGGAAATTTCTTGGATTGCTGGCAAAGGTGGAAGTGACTTCGACCACGCCGTTGTCGCGGCTTACGGTCGCAGTCCTGGCGCCCGGCAGAGCCTGGAAGCACGTTCAGCTGCATTGCTTGATCAGGGCATGAGCAATTGGAGCAGCGCAGCATCGCTGGGCTCTGAGAAAAGATGGAGGATGATGAAGTATGGCTGAATGCAAACAGAGATTTGTGTCATGGTGAGCTCACTGGCATTCCTGACTCCGGGAAGGCTCCAAGCAACCCCAGCGCCCCGCCCGCGACACACAGGAGCGATGTGTTAGCGGTTACAGCTGTTAGCTGTTACTTGATGTGCGCAAGCCAAAAGTCATCCTGACTGGCATAGGCCGAGTTTATCGCCGCGAAAGTTTGCTGGCTGTGGAGGTGCGATGGGACCGATGGAGAGAGGTCTTGTGCAATTTGCATTGCAATGCCCGAGGGGAAGATGCGCTCAGCGGGCCACCTGAGAGACCCCAGGCTGGTCTCGGAAAGTGCTTTTCCATTCTGCACATTCACATGATTGAGACCAAGGCCGATGGGGGTACCACGCCTGCTTCCTATGCCCAAGTGGTACTGGGACAACGAGGGCTGCGTCAGTGAGGCCCTGCTGCCCTGCTGCCCTGCTGCCCTGCTGTTGCGATGTCCCGCTTTTTCTGCTTGCTGCCTGCGCTTGCTGCATTCGACACCAGGACGAGACCGACGATGAGGCCCGCCTTCGGGCACTGGAGGCGCCCAGTGCCGACATTGCTGCGATGGACAGGCGGAAGTGTGCTGGGCTTAGGCTCGCCTGGACCGCGAGAACGGGGCGGACGCCAAGAATGTTGAGACCTTCGGAGAGGCCAACTCCGCAATGACTTTATCGTCACGGCACGATGAATCGCGCTTGCGAGGCGTGGGCCGTCGAGGCCTGGTCCTTCGAAGACGCTTTGGCCGCGAACCAGAGGCAGATGGCAGATGTCGCGATCTCCGCAAGCTCTGCACGTGCACGTTTGCAGGATTGCGGCGCAACGACAAGCCGGAGGCACCCAGACAAGATCCTGTGGCAATTTCCGAGCAGTGACATGCCTGCAGTTTGCTGCAGGCTTCGCGGCGAGGCCCGTGGCACCAGCTCCGGCATCACCCACCTGCGCTCGCGCTAGCGCAGATGGCTTTTTCGGCTCTGATGCTGAGCTGCAACCGTGCTTGCATTGCTGGATTGTCAGTGGCAGCGTAGATATAGTCCAGAGCATGTTTTGCTTTAGCTTCTGCAGCTCCTCAGGTCTGTAACATAGAAGATCGATTTGCAGTCTTTGAGGCCTTGTGACGCCTGGATATGCTCAGGAGAGACGGAACTACTTGGATGGCGAGCAACCCGTCATCCCAACAATGATCTTGCAGTAGTGGCAAGGCCTGCCCAAGCCAAGAGATTCATTTGAGCCGCCCCAGGCGCAGAAGCATAAAACCTGTTTGTGTTGTGGACTGCACAGGACGGCGAACCGTGCGTTGCGGTGCTGAGTGGCTGTCATTTGGCGCCTGGTAGGATTTGGTCTACCAACCCTGTGTGTTTCCGGTGGCCAGAGCCCCTCCTGCTCCGCCTCATGAGCATTTTTTTCTAGCCTATGAGTTGCGCTTTGCTGCGGCTGCAGGTGAGGCTTTCCTTGCCAGATTTTATACAGAACCTTTATGTGTCTCACTCCGCCATCAAGGCCGCAAGGATCCGTCTTGCTGATGTTAACGTGATGCCTGCCTCGCAGTGCGAAAACCGTGGCATTCCACCAGGCTGCTCGGCCTCAGCCCATGTAGCGGGAGAGCATTGGACACCTTACAATCCTTTGATTCCCACAACTCTTGTGGTGGCTTTGGCTGAAAGAGTTAGCGCAGCAATGTTGGCTGATTTTCGGGTAAGCCATACCCAGCACCGCGGCATCTTGCATTTGACCGGCGAATCCCCAACAAAGATTCGGATCTAGGGTTGAGGGCTCAGGCTTCAGGCATGCATGTTGAACTCACTGTGAACAATGTGGTGGATTGAAGCAATGATCGGTATGCGGAGGGGGGGAGCAAAGAAGAATCTTGACGTCAGTGCATGAGGATGGCCTGACAAGTGTCTTCACCCACATGCAAATAAGTCAAGGCATTCAGGCTCATACTTGCCATATGGTAGCCTTTAAAGTGTGCCTGGAAACCAGGTAATGCGTGAACCTGGAATACTAATGTTGCTGAAGGACAGCTCCAGAACAGAACCCATGAACCCGCTTCGTAGACCTCGCAGACCTCGGAGCTGAGCAGTTAGGCTGCTCGTGTCACGTCAGCTACCGAGGGCTCCTCACTCGGTCCTCCTCCTCATCATCATCATCATCATCATCCTTCTCCAGCTGGTGATCCTCCTCCTCCTCCGCCTCATCCTCATCAGCGTCATAATCATCATGAGCAGCAGCAGCATTTCTGTAGTCATCGTTTTTGTATCGTTCTGGTCATGTTGCATTGATCTAGACCATCACCATCATTATCATCATCATCACCATCATCACCATCACATTATCATTCCGGTGCCATGGTTAAGGTGGGGCGGGGGGGCGGGGGAGGGGGGGCAGTTAAGCCAAAGGCCTTCTTCAACCAACTGTCCTCCCTGACCGCGTCCGAGATCCCTTGCGATGTTTTTACCGTGCAAACCACGGAAGCCGGATGCTGGAACACTATAGAATACTCCTGTTCCTACACATGAAACGCCCTGCCATTTCCTGCAAGAACCTACTTGGATTTTGCGCTTCCTGTTGCAAGGCTTTCGGCCCAAAGACAGCAGGAGAGTGGCCTGCGCAGTCATTGCATGTGCTGAGACTTTGGTAGATTCGAGTATTGTCTCTTTGAAGAGTTCCAACCAGTCACGCCAATTGAAGCGCCACGACTTCTGTGAGATGGTCGATTCCTCCTGGCACGAGGATCCGGCAGGCGAGTTGGAGGCGGGGTGGATTAAACATCAGTTTCTCGAAAGCTGAGCTGTTTGGCGCCTCGTTTTGCCAGGTTGTTACGCCCCCTCCTTTTCTTGGAGGTAAGTCGAAGCCGAACAGAGAGCTGAAGGGAGACACAGCTTCTGCAATGTTGCAGGCTACACGGGGTCGCCGGTGCAAGAGGCCAGCAAAACAACCAAAGAGCAAAAGAGTGTGGAAAATTGAGAAGCCGGTTTATGGGCCAGGCGCCAGGGCACTCCGTGTTTGGACCCTGGGCTTCTGCCTTGTTGCTACCAGGGGGTCGCACAGCTCTGAGGCTGGATGCAGCCAGAGAGCTGGAGCCAGAAATCCAGGAAGACAAGGCTAGCATGCTGCGCTGCTCGAACGGTGAAGTATGTGTAGAGTCTATGGTGGCGATTGATTGAAACTTGTTTGCTTCAAGTAAACACGTTCAACATGTTCACTGACACATCCCGGCATCGCCGGAGCCACTCTGCTCCTGCAGGGTGGTTACGAGTCCATGCAGGCGTGCGGGTGGGCAGCTGAAGGGATTCACGATGGAACTCACATTTTTCAATTTCCGAGTAAAGAGGGCAAGGGTGCCCGTAGGCACCTTTCCTGACCAGGCTCTGCACCATGTTTATGTAGTGGTAGCGTAAATTCCCTGTAGCGTCAGACACCGGGCAAGCTGGGTAAGGATGCCTTTGCCACAATTTGCAGGCTCACAACTGGTCTGGAAGATTGGAGGTTCTGCGGCCAGCTGAGGCAGTGGAAAGAAATTCTCTTGGCCTTCTGTTGTGGACGCTTGACAGAGAGAGTTGGGGGGTTCTGCCGGAGCGCACTCCTCATTTTGAAAAGCTCTTCTTGATGATGAGCTGCACAAGCTGTAGCAAGACAACGGCAGCCCATCTGGTGGACGTCATGCAAGGGCAAGACTCAGGTATGTGGCATGTGTGACAAGAGGAGGCTATCAGCAAGTAAAAACTCAAGCTGCTACCAACACTCATCCTAAGGTTGAACCTGGCCTTTCTGCAGAGTATGTTTTAGGAAACAAACCCTCTCAGAAAATTCAGAATTCAGCTGTCTCTAAGTGCTGGTCCATGAAGGGTCATGCGGCCCTGGCAATGGGCAACGCTGGCAGGGAGGGCAGTGACCGCTGTGGGTGTTAGCCGCGGCTTCTTCGGGAGCCGGCTGCGTTCTGCTGCCCGGGATGCTTATACGGTCATGGGCTTGGACCGGCGTGCTTCGCAGCAAGAGGTCAAGCAGCGCTTCCGCGTCCTCGCGAAGCAATACCACCCAGACCTGAACACGGGAGACCGCACGGCCTCCCTGAAGATGGCTGAGCTTACAAGCGCCTACGACACTCTCATGGACCCCAAGCGTCGGGCTGCGCTAGATCAGGCCACAGCCGGCACCTCAGCCGGCGCGGGTCCAGGCTCCAGCTACACCGGGGGTTTTCCCTACGATGACAGCGACGGCTGGGTGTCGCCCTCACAGATGTTCTCGGAGTTTTCAGACCTCTTCGGCCGCAACTCCCAGTTCCGACCCAACATGGATGCCTCTGCAGCGGTCAGGGGTGAGGAGCTCTTCACAGCGCAGCCGAGCGCAGCCGCAAGGCACCCGAGGCACCTGACATCAAACGCTCCATGATCGCAGGACGTCAGCACCCAGCTGGACGTGACCTTCCTGGAGGCCAGTTGCAACAGCATCTTGACACGTCCATCCTAGAGACCTTCTGGTGCAAGGCTGCTCAGGGCTGCGAGAAGCAGGTCTCTCTGAGATTGAAACAGGCATGCCGCATCTCCCTTCTCAAACTTACCCAAAAAAAAAGTGACGTAAAGGCATCCTTCCAAAAAGAGCCGTTCGCTTGGAGCAGCAAGTTGCCAAGTGGCCAGGTCTGCCCCGACTGCCGCGGCTCCGGGGCCCGCGAGGGCACAAGCTGGTCCAAGTGCCGCGCTGCCAACTAAGCTTGCCTCGTAACAGCTCATCTCATTTTGCTTTTGGGTTCTTTTTGCGTGAAGCCTTCCCTCTTCACGGGCTGGCAGGTGTGCAAGGGCTCTGGAGTTCATCGGCAGGAGAAAGGCATCTTCAGCATGGGCCTCCCCTGCCAGAGGCTGGGCATAGCGCGACTCCAATCCAAGTGGTATCTGCAAAGGGGCGCGTGATGAGACTTATCAATGCTTGCAGTGCAGGCTGCAGCATGTATTACAAGCTGACCTGGTACATCTTCATCTTACGATCACTATCACAGTCATGGTGGAAAATTCTTCTTTCCCAACCCAGCCTCGGAGGTGTCGCGGTAGCGGTATGGCAGGAAGCCCAAATCGATATGGACATGCTGCTCTTCCTGAGCTTCTGTGATTTTTGTTGCTGCTCCAGGTTTTGGACCATCCCTGCCGCGGCTGCCGCGGCGAGAGCACGAAGATGATGACTCGGGACATCCGCATCAATGTCCCTGCAGGGGTCTGGGGCGTAGTGGAGCCATGGCCAAAAGCACCAAAAGGATATGTCAAAGAATGGTGATAGTGGTCCAGATCCTTGGTCCATTGAGGTCCGCAATCTCATGGAGCTGCGTGTCCCTGGTGTTTGGTCTTGTTTCGGAGACTCGCTGCACTGCTCCAAATTTCTCTCTAGCCGTGCCAGGTGCTGGACATGCAGGCAGCCGTGGTGGGAAGGCCCCGACAATGTCTTTTTTGCGACAGGCTAAGCTGGCTAAGTGTAGGGCCTCTTTTAACACCGCCACTTCTTTCAGCTTGGAGAAAGGTCAAAGCCAATGTCAAAAAGAGTCTAGGGAAACTTTCGGAAGAAAGCTGACCCGCCTATGAGGCAGGACACCTCTTCGTGCAAGTGAAGGTGCTGCCGCATGAGAGGCCCATGTGGAGCTCGCTGGTCATATTCGCAGCATCTCCTGGCCATCGCAGGTTCAGGCAGGTGGACGACGACGTTCACCTTGACGTGCCTCTGACGTTGCGTGAAGCGCTGCTGGGAGCCGAGGCCGAATCCCACGCGGTTTAGGGTTTAGGGCTGGAGACGTTAAGGAAGGCTCAGCCACAGGCTCGAAGGTCTTGCGTCTAAAGTGTCAAGGCTTTAAGGCTTATGGCCCATGGCATAGTGTTATGAACATCCTACACACATATCATTAAGACAGGGGTCTGATGCGGCAAAAGGAAATTTAGGGCCGCGAGCTTCACATTTAATTTTAATCAACTCTTCATCCAGGTTTTTACTGTAACGCGCAACTTTAAGACCTTCAGTCTACTCCTCGCCCCCTGTTTATTCCTCCACCCCTTCATGCAGGATCTGGTGTCGTGTATCCAGGAAGTCTTACATGTCAGTAGATGATCCGTTGGGGCTAGGCCTACAGCATTTATGCGCTGGGCAGCTTCCCACTGTGACAGTGGGAGGCAGTTTGGGTGACAGACGACAAAGTCTAAGCCAGAGTCTGAGACATTGGGAGACGAGGGCTGGCGACGACATAGACGACAAAGCCTGAGCCGCCTGCTGTGACAGTGGGAGGCGAGGGTTCGACGACAAAGACGACAAAGTCTGAGCCTCCCACTGTGATAGCAGAGGCAAGGGCTGGCGACGACCATGCCAAAATTTTATGTTCGCGGCTTGGGCCCAAAGGATTTTGATTCCGGCCTCTGGTCCACGTCAAAGCCCCCACTGAAAATCGGTGATGCCTAACCGGCCTAACCCGTTTCATACGTATTTTCGATTGCCCCTTATGCCCCCATGAATTTATCCGCATGAAATCCTGTGGCCCAACCCCATCCATACCCATCAATGAGCTGTTGCTCATTACAGGAAGGTTGATGTTGTTTTTTTTGCTTCCTATGAGCTGCTTTGGTACAAATCGTTGGCCAAATTGGTGTGTGCCAATGACCAACTAATCCCTCCTTTCTTCCTTTGGCGAGAGAGAGCCACAGCAGTACCGACACTGCAAAGGTAGGAGAAGGGGCAAGAAGGACCCGAATGGCTGCATACCGGGCCCAGGTGGAATCGCACCCTGCAGGCAATCCAAGACATGACAACGATGATGATGGGAACAATGGCAACAGCAAGGATTGTCACCTCGTCGGCGGCAGTCATACACTCTACATGTACTTGAGGGCTTGGATATCAAACCTTAGGCTGCCAAGAGCTTTGTGACCTGGAGTAGGACTTTGCCAGGTCTCCATCCCCAACCTGGAGGGCAGCACGGAGCGTCTCATAATTCAGGCACGCCGGGATTGTATTACACACATTTGAACTGGAGGGTGAACCTGAGCATACCGTGGGATGTATCAAAAGCTGACGGGGGGTCCTGCAAATCTGGAAGGTTGCAACCCCAGCAGCGCCTGTAGCAAAGAACGTTTAATGACAGCACGCAACAGATGTCCTCGTCGCAGTATGTGTCGTAGAAGCGGTAGTATCCGAGCGGTATTGGCCACAGCAGCAGCGTACTTTGGCGTCACCACAAGCACCCTCCGTTCAAATGAGGCACCGGCGCAGCCCGGCACCACAAAGGTTCTTCGGGGTCGCGGGCCCCCGAAGGCGGGGAACCAGGGTCGCGGACACTTGGCTCCTGAGCTGCAAGTGCCCAAGTGGCCCAAGTCAAGTGATTTCCAATCCGGGAAGCGTGGGTGGATGTCCATGAGTTCAATGTAGCATTCAATGTCGGCAGAAAGCAAAGGTTCTGCATTTCCTCCTGCTCCTTAGCTGCAGCTGACGTGGGAGTCCCCAAGACTTGTGTGCCCTATACTACATGTTGCCCGCCAAAACGTTTGAATCCTAAAAGCACGCGAATCAGCTCCATAAGCTTGAGATGTGAAGATGACTTGCAGCAAATTGCCAATATGCAGTGAAGATGCCAATGCAGCTCTCAGGCATCTTCCACGGAGCCTCAGCCCGCGGCAGGCCTCGGGGATGTTTTGGAGAAAAGCTCCTGTTTTGTGATTTGGCGCATTGCCTGGACGTTGAAGGTGGAACTGATTGAAGAGTTCGACAGCCTGGCGGCGGAGATACCGCCAGGTCGCAGCACAAGGACTCTTTTCATGGGGGATGCTCAGTTCAGTGCTGCAGTGTTTGGGCCAGCCTGATCATGGCGGGCATCATGCGTGCTTCCCCCTTTGATTTGCAGTCCCCTGTTTGATTTGCAAATGTTCTCTGCCATTGAGGTCATGATTCTATCCATCTTTGAGAGCTGCACCTGTTTGATTATGGACTGGGTTTGCCACCTCCTTTTACAGGACAGCCAAGAACTCCGCTCGTGCGCACGCGCCGACTTGAGCCGCAAAAGGGCAGAGATGATGCACACATATGCACACTGTGTCATGCCTCGGTTTGGGGTTGAGCTTGGGGTGCATGCTTCCAACCGGATAGCGTGGGACTCATGAAGCTGTCCCCTTCATAGTTGACTCATAGTTGACACGTCGGGCACGTGTACATGGGGCAGGGTTCCCTAAGATGCAGCATCAACTGTCAGAACGAGAATCTGCACGATTGGCGACTCCCAGAGAATGCTTCCAAGGGACCCCAAGAATCCGAATTGCCTTTCACAAAAGCCAAGCCCTGGTCTCGAATCTAAAACACAAAAATTATGCCTTCTTGAGCTTTGCTTCAATTCCTTCAAAAATCCCTCCAAAAAATCGCATCCTGTCGCATCCTGCTTCCAGCTCTCGGCCTCGGCACTGGCCTCGCGGGAGTCCAGCACAACCTCGCAGGGAGGCCCCCGGGGGTTTTCCAGGTCCTGGGAAAAGAGCATCTCCCCAACACACATCGCATGCTAAAAAAAAGGGATGTGTATAATTACTGGGTAACAGAAAGGATTCTATATGAGAAATGAGTATCTCAAGCACAATCCAGCCGAGCTTGTTGGAGATACTGAATGGCAGGCGCGGCCCGTGGAGAGGACCGACTGATGTTTGTGAGGGGTCTCAGAAGCATGCAACATCATGACCCTTGAACCTTGCATGTACAAGTCCCCGCAAAGCGAATATATACCCACATGTCCATAAACTTGGCCTTATTCGGTCCTTTCCACATCCATTCTCGTGATGCTGTTATTCTTGTAATGTACGCCAACAAAATGGTCAGGACTCCACGAACGCCAGCAACCGAGCCTGGAGCGACTCCACGCCGGAGACCCAGCACGGAAGCGGTGATAGAAATCAAAATATGGAGAAAGGGCAACATTCGTGGTACTTGGCGGAAAGAACCAGACGATGGTGATAAACAAATGACAGTGCCTTGGATGCGAACGATGTGACTGCAGCTGGCATCATCCTCAGCAACATGCTTGCGTAACTTGTGTACTTCCACGTGCCCACTTAACTTCCTGCGCCATGAAGGACTTGCTGAGGAGCTAGGCATCTTCATGTTTGACGTACAGGCACACATGTGTCGGTTCTAATCCTCGGCTCATCTCAGTTCCCAGGCCGCAGGATGGCAAGGCGCGCGTTGCCAGACGGGGGTATGTAACAGCTTTCAAGAAGTGTGGTGGTCGTGGTTTGCGTGGCGGTGAGCACGGGTCCTACACCTTTCAAAGACTGCGTGCAGGCTGCTTGCATCAAAGTTAGTTTTCTTTGAGTAATGTATTACTTTATAGGATCCTCGCATAAGAGCACGACATGGCACCATGATTCGAAGATCCCCGGAGTGGTGGACTCTAGGCCTTTGTTGGTGAGCAGGAGCTGGACGTCATTGCCAAAACTCGGCAGCGAGTGCGCGAGGCTATCGCCTCCCTTGAAAGAGGATCTCAGAGTCTCAGACTTTCAGAAGCCCCGCGACAGGTCAAGGAGCGCGAGCGCCTGGAGCGCTTGCGAGAGGAGGAGGAAAAGGAGCAGCGAAAGAAGGACGCACAGGTTGCAGACTTGAATGAAGCTGATGACTGATAGCGACTGGTGGGTGAGTAGGCGAGGAAGAATTGTGAGGGGGACTCATAAGGTCTTGCAGCAAAAATATGACCATGAGCTTGTAGATTCCTGGTGCAGACCTACGGCAATGATTGGCAAAGTCCCTGACAGGCCCACTCTTTTTGTAACTTGACGGACACAAGCGCCTCTTCGTGCTAGACCTTGTGCAATCTTCAGAAACGGAAAACCCCAAGAAGGACCCAGTGTCCTGGTACTGGGTCGCCGGTTCCGTACGGCCTCATGGCTTGGCAGGTGCAGCATGAGGAGCGCATGAAGCGCCAAGAGCACGAGAAGCGGCAGAGGCTACTTGAAAGGAGGCGCGGGATCAGATCAATGCATGTTGGGTCTTTGTGGAGATCACTTTTGTATATGCTCCAATCCTCCCTCGTTCCTACCATACCAGGGTGGAGCAAGAATCCAAAATGGTCAAAGAAGCCGAAGACAAAAGACACGACGAGGCCCGTCTCTGTGCTTCAAGCGGATTGTACAGATTGAGGTGCCTGACAGCCCAGATATCCAGAGACCCGTTTGGACACTGACATGAAGTTCTACATAGTGTCTCTCGCACTGTTGGAGGAGCGCCGACGACAGCAGGAAGAGAGAGCTAAGTCCCTCCAGCGGCAGATGCAGGCAATGCTCTGCGGAGTCTTGCTGACGGGCTCTGCACTGGTGATGGTTCCGAGGCACGGATCAAGGCCGAGAAAGACCGGGCTGCCAAAGAAAAGAGAGAGCTGGACTGCACAGTAGCAACTTCTGGTTTTTGTGGCCAGCATGGAGCTCACAGCTGTGCCAGGAGCAGCATGAAAAGGAAGAGCGGCGCCGGGCTGAAGAAGAGGCTGCCGTGAGTGAGAGTTGCATGGCTTCTGCGAGCCGGACATGTGTCCAGGCTGCCAAGAAGGCGGCAGAGGCAACGGAAGCCGCCAAGAGAAGGCCAGGGCATGGGCACAGCAGAGCTCACCCCTGTCTTCCAGCTTTGGCAGGTTAGCGGAGCGGAAGAAGCAGCAGGACAAGCTGAGAAAAGACGACGAGGAGATGCTTTCCGTTGAGAATGCAAGCCTGGCTTTGCTTTCCCTTTTGGTGCAGGAGGCATCCCAGAGAGGCGAGAGCCGCGGGCGCGACGAGAGCGTGGAGGCTTTGCGCCGCAAGGCAGAGGAGCGAGTGCGATACCGCTCCCAGGAGCGACGCCGTGAGGAGCAGGATCTGCGAGCACGCGAGGCTCTGAAGAAGTGCGAGGTTGAGGAGGAGCTGCGGGCAGCCAAAGAAGAGCTGGAGGCGCGACGCCGATCGGCAGCACAGCGCGCAGCCTCGCACCAACGAAGGGAGAAGGAGGCCATAGCTATAGCGGCAGAAACAGACAATTCATTTGTGTTTAGCGTGAGGGCTTGAGATGGTGTAGGATCTTTTTGCCTTAGACGGGGCTCTTGCCTTTCAAGGTGGAGGAGCGTGCGCGCCTGGAGCGCGAGGAGCACAGTGCTGCGGCCAAGGAGCGGCTCCAGCTGTACCGGAACCCGCGGGCCATCGCCGAGCTGAAGGCTTCAGAGGCACCCATGCCGCTAACGCACGAGCAGCGGCGCTCGGCCTCGCGACGCCGGCACGCCGAACAGGAGAAGCTGCGCCGCTATGCGGACGGCATGCCTGTAGAGTCTGAGGACAGCGGGAGGCCCCCGCCACTGCCAGGCGCCCCGGGCCCCGGTGCCCGCGTGCGGCGAAGCAGCCGCAAACCGGAGAAGGAGAAGGCGGCGAAAAGGGATAAAAGGTCACCTCCCAACTGCTCAAAGCGTGGACAATCGCACATAATTCCCAGCAATCCCTTCAAGAGAGCAAGTGCTCCACCAGCATGTTTCTTTTTGAAAATTCTCTTTTTCCGTATTCTGAGTTCAGCACAGGCGGAGCGGGGCCGGCTTTCGCCTTCCAGCTCGCTGCAAACGGGCTGCTCAGAGACGGAGTCTGCCCTGGAACCCCTGGAGGAGCCGCCGCAGACACCGGAGGCCCCGGTGGAGATTCCAGTGAAGACCCCAGCGGAGGTGCCCCTGGAGGCGCAAACGCCGCCTGTGCCAGCGGACGAGGCCAAGGAATCCAAGGAGTCGGAGGCCATTGAGGAGCGGGCCGTGAGTTGTGGGATAAGCGGAGGAAAGGTGGGCGAAGTCCAGGTGCCGCCAGAAGAGCTGGTGCAACCGGCGGAAGATCTGCTGGAACCTCTGGAGCCTGAGGATTTGGAGGAGATCGAAGTTGAGTCCAACCTGAGCATAAGCTTGCACATTAAGATTTGACAGTCTCATTGTCTAGTCATGACCTACACAGCAAGCAGCTGATGAATTGTTAAGGTTGCAGAGCTCTCATCAAAGCCCCAGGCGTGTCACCATCTGCCAATTATGGTGGAGCTTGCGAGAGCCTTGCACAGCTGCAAAAACATTGTGTTGCCTGGTTCAAACGCTGGCACCGAAAGCTTCGACGTCATAGCCTTTCGGTTCAGATGCGGGGGCAGTAAAATTTGCATATTTGGCTGAGAATTTCAATAGCAGAGCCTTGGCTGGAGTCAGAGGTCAGCGCGGCATCGGATATTGTGGGGTTGTAGTTGCAAATCTCAGGACTCACGGCATGATCATTCGCAGTCCGATCCTCATGCGTGGGCGTCATGACCTATTGGCTCATGCAGTTCCCTTGCCTAAGGCTCATTGGGCTTCGTTTGCCTCGTTGGTGTAGCTTTTGGCCATTCTGGCCACTCGCATGTGGTCCACAAGCAGGCAGAAGTTACGGGAGGCCCAGATTGCGGTGCCATCTGGGTGCTGTCAGGCCATGGCGGTGGATGCCGAGGGAGATTTGACTTCTGGGTCCAGCCTGGAGTGTTTGCATAGGGGTTTGCTTCACGTCTCCGTCTCTCAGGCCTAGGCTGATGCGAGCTGAAGACCTCGCATCCAGCCTAGAGATCCAAGAGCAAGGCCTGAAACGACTTTATCTCCAGCTGCCCATCATGTCGGTGCTCATTGGTGCAGGTCAGGCACAGCACACGCAGCAGGCAGAGACGCTCGAGGCCAGGCAGTTTGGCAAGGATTTGTTTGTCCCGGCCATTTTGTTTTCTGTGACACCAGGAGGCGCTTCCCATCTCAGCCTCAGACATTGCGTACAGAGCATGGGCCTCAAAATTTGAACCAGTCACAGTCAGCAGCCATGCACGTCGCTATGCTCACGATGCTCACAAGGCCATGGACCTGCTCATGGGCACCACCGGCATGGCTGAAGAGGATTTGGTTTGTGATACGCCTTTGTGACACCACTTTTGTGGTTCAACGTTTTGAGCGATCCTTCTTGAGCTTCGCAGGACTACCCTTTCGCCAGCTCCCAAGCATGCCATGGAGAACAGCTCACCTCTGCAACTGGGACTGCCTTTTCCAGGCATGCATTTGCGGCGCAGAGGGAACATGTCAGGGCGACCCGTGGCATCCTTATGATGTCCACGCGTGCATCGCGATTCTGGGCTCGGTTGATCTTGCAAGCTCTGCGCAGGGCCGAGACAACTTGCAAAGGGCGCATAGGGACCCCGAATGCAGCTCCGCACCTGCCGTGGATGAAGGCCAGGTCCAGCACGTGCCGAATAAGGGAGAGTCGTAGACATGTTGACTTACTGTCAGCAAATCAGATTTCTGGAAAAAACGCAGGCATGCTGACAAGATCTGATGTGAGGCTCTTGTGGCCCCTTTGCTGTTCATCTTCTTGCAGTACTGAAGCAGCGAGTCTTGCCTGCGGCATCCTGGCAATCTGCCAGCATTGCTGACCACCTTACATCTATGGAAGCTGCAAAACATTGTGTCACAAAAATGCTACACGGTGTAACTCTGCCTTGAGTAGAAACACAGCAACGACAGGACGCACGTGTGTATTCGCATCGTATTCACTGTTTCCCTCAGCGCGTGCCAATCCATGGTGAGCTGGTGGGCTGCTTGTCTTTCGGCCCAGAATGAGGTAGTCAGGTAGTGTTGTTGTTGCCTAAGTGCTGCGAAGCATTTGGGCTGACAATGACTGGCTTGCCTTTGTCAGAGTATGTCAGGCACACCTTGCAGCGCTTTGAACGATTTGCTTGAAGTTTAAGATGTGGAGCTCGGCCGCTACGTGAAATCAGGGGCACTAGCTTGCAAAATTGCAGAAAATGTATTGTAGGAGGTGCTGTAGGAGGCAACGACTTTGCAGTGTCTATCTGACTATCGGGATAGAGGACAAGCATACTGTTGCTAAGGCTTTAAGTTTATCTGCATAGTCCCGCCCCATAGATGGACGCCAACGACTGTTTTCTACCGTACTGTCGCTAAGTCAACAAAAGTCACTAACCCTAAACCCTTTCAGTATCATCAGTTGTGGCTTCAAACCAGCAGCATGGAGCGCCAGAATGAGATCCGGAAAGTTCTCTCGGCCGGGTGCAATTACTATGGAATTCTAGGCCGGGTGCGAGACGGGCATCGCAGCGAAATCCACAAACTTGTGCCTGCAACAGGTGTGGATGCAAGTGCAAGCGATGCAGACATCCGGAAGGCTCGAAGCGTGGACAGGAGACATTGTTGTAATATACTACGGAGACATTGTTGTAATATACTACGGTGATATACACTTCAAGAAGCCACAGACTCGTGCTAGGCCTACAAGAAGAAGGCGTTGCTGCTACACCCCGACAAGGGTGGAGGGAATGATGCCGAGGAGGCAAGGCCACAGTCAGGTTGAGTGGTTGTGCACCGTTATAACCACGGGAGGTAACCACGCCTATGCTTGGTGAAACGTTGAACTCATGAAGAGTAATGGGCACAGCTTAGGGAGGTTTGGCCGATGCAACAGCCATGCTGAACTTCAGTTTCGCGAAAAAATCGGTGACACCGCTTCTATGGGCCATCGCCAATGTAAAGCCCGGATCCAAGTCAGATCATATTGTAAGGTTCAGTTCTCCTAACCCAAACAATTTACACGCAAAGACATCTCCCACAAGTCGCGCAGCGCCCGTCTCAAGCTGCTATTGGAAAGGCTGTGGATGCTACCTGTTGTGCTTTATTCATCCCAGGGTTAGTGGAAAAGAGTGTCGCTTTTGTAGACGAATGGCCTTCCAAGAGGTTTCAGAAATGATGAGAGCTTCGATGCTACTTTCGCTCGTGTGAGGCCTTCAAACGCCTTTCTGAAGCACATGCCATCCTGAGTGAAGCCGATTCAAGGCTGCGCCAAATCTTCTCATTGTTGCATGGCTTGCCTGTTTTAAGCTCGGGCACTCCTAAGCAGATTCCTGCGAGGTGGAGATACGACCTGGGCGCCAACGCTCAGAACGCCAACCACCACGGGCTCACCGGAGAGGATCTGCGTTTTCTGCTGTGCTCTGGGACTTGATTAATGTTTCGAACCTGTCGTGTTCGGCAGCTGAGGGATTCCAGACGTTCGACCGATGTGCTGCAAGGCCCACTTATAAAGTGAAATCTGTGAGGAGCGCAGGCGGTGGAACAAAGAGAGGGCAGCTGCTCATGCAGCTTTGAATGCCGAGACTCGCAAGATAACCAACCAGGGCCTTTTCCTCAGCCTCAAGCCAACACGTGATTCTTGCGCCGAGAGCCTGCCATAGGCAACGTACCCGGATCCCACAAGACGAAGTCCAAGGCCTAAGAATGCCCGACATGCTTGGCATTCGCCGGGTACTTTCGGAATTTCAGATGGACCTATCAGAGCGCGCGTGAAGGAGAAGTTCGCACAGCATCGGCAGGACGTGAAGGAATTCCTGCTGAAGAAGGCTGGAGAGGTTGTTTGTCATAAGCAGTAGTATCACAAAAGAAGTATTTCAAAGAGAATTTGAAAATCCCCGAATCTAAGCTTCATTTGGGTGCGGAGGTCGGCCACAAGTTAGGTGACACCGAGCAGTTCGCCTTCCAGTGATTCTAGATTTCACATCTTTGTGCAAAAGGGGACGCAGGTGTGCGCATCTCATTTTGTAAACTAGGCAATTCCTTCCATCCCAATGGCTGTGGGATTATTCTGTGATACACATTTTATGCGCCAGGTGGCTAGCCTTCAGTTTAGAGGAGTCGAACTTGCGCCTGACAGATTCGAGCTAAAAAGATGAAGAAGATGGTGTCCAAGGATCTCTTGGGTTCAGTGCGCAGAAAATATGATTGGGTTTAAGGTTCCAGGGTTGAGGATTCCTAAATTGGCTCACACCCTGGATCCTGTCAGGTTTCCCCAATTGTCCATTTGGCGTGGAGAAGCCGGGGGGCCTCAGGGAGAAGCCTGGCTTAGGGTGTTGATGGTTTAAGGTCTTGGTTGTCGAATTCGGATTTCACTGTTTAGTGTATAGGTTGTCGTAAGTTTAGGGTCCTGGGGTGATTTGGCGTTTAGAGGGTGTTGTTGCTGAAGGTTTGGTGAAGGGTTTGGTGTTCAAACTTTGCCTTCGGAGTCGTGGCCGAGGCTCTAGGTCTTCAGCTTGAGGCATGAAAGCGGTTCTCAAACCTAAACCCGAAGGTGGTGATGGTTTGCTGTTTGTTTTCAATTTTGACACCTGGTTGTTTGGGCTTGGGGCATGTGGTTATCAGGGAGGCGTGGCTAACGGGTGGCTGTGGTAGATTTGGTCCAGTCCCTAAACCCTAAACGAGCTAATGGTCCAGGAGCGTGTGACAGCGCCGACGGGATGTAGAGATCCCCTGCTGTTCAACAAGCACACCAACAACGACAACCCGGAGGCACGGCACGGGTATTGGTTTGCCGGCTTGTGTTTCAGCTCTTCGGCTCTTCAAAAGTCTTGTCGGTTCGCTTTGACGTATACTTGCTCGCATGCCTTGGTCGTCCGTTTGACTTTTGGGTCCGCGTTTGTGTTTGATGCTTTAGTTCTTCCAAGACAGCTCTAAGCCTCCTCGCAGAAGGTCCCGGAAGTTGCGAACACCCAGACAGTCTTGCAACTGAGCCCGCTCCCAAATGCCCGAACTGGCCGGAGAGCCACCAAACTTGCTCTCTGCCACTTGCAGGGCTTATCTTGTCTTTGCAGTATTTGTCGCGTGTCTTGTTGCCTCTGGCTTCGTCTGTCGTATGTCAAAACCCCTACTCCTCTATAGATGGTAAACGCAAGAAGCAGTCTGCTTGCCGCCTTCGTGTTTTCGATCGTTGCGCCGTCCTGATCCTCTGGAACAGCAAGTTCAGCATCAGTCAGCATGGCGCTTGAGAAACTCAATGAGGCGCAGTGAATACTTCACTGCGGTGTGATTTTTCGCATGAAGAGCCATTGCTTCCCAAAGATGAAAGCAGTATGGGCATTCGGGCAATCGCTCAATTTCAAAAGATTAGTTTTCAGGGGAGGCCTGGAAGAGCAAAGTAACAAATCTTGGGTTTTCATTCCCGAGCTTGCTCATCATCCAGATTGCAGCTTTCGAGCCCCAAAGGCTAAATCTCAACCCCAAGACCTGAACAGGCCCTGGTGCCGCCAGACTCCGAGACCCACCCCGCTTCATCCACCTTCAACTCAGAGGCTTGGTCCCATAGTCTTGGTTGAGGGCTTAGGGTTCAGGTTTCTGGGTTTAGGGCTTTGGGGGCTTAAGGTTTCAGGCTTATTAGCGCTTTGGGGCTTCGGAGTCAGAATTTGGGGCTTAAGTTTAATCACAAAAGCTCCGCGTGTGAGAGCTTCGTTTAGTACCTCACGAAGTGAGCCT